ATACCAACTGGTTGTCGTCTGCAAAAGACCGTGCGGGTGTAGCGTAGTGCCTTCGTCGGTAAGATCGTTGGTAACTCTCCATAGAATCCAATCACCCCTGCAAGCTGTTAGCGAGGGCACGAAGATCACCAAGGTTTATACATACCAGTTGGCTTCGATAAGCGGTCCTGGAAATTGACCGTTGACAGTCAATCCATTCCTGGTCACACCATCCGGTGCGATGGTCTGGTAGGCCACATGGAGATCATAAGTTCTCGTCACTCCAGTGTCAGGCATGGTGGGACAAAGAGGATCTGCCACAGGGGTGGTGGTAGGTCCACCGGTGGGTCCAGCAGTGGGTCCACCGGTGTAGGTGTTGGTCGCGTTAGAGGAAACGTGCCCATGACCTCCATGTCCGTGACCGTGTCCATGACCTCCCGCAGTAGGGTACGGGGGGTTTACAATGGACTTGGTAGGGAATGAATACGAGCCATTTGAGTGACCACCGGGGAGGCCATTGATTGGGAGATGGGGGGTATCGATCGAACCCCACTGAGAGTTTCCGCATTGCTCAACATTTGGCAGAGCAGGGATGAGCTTGTCAGTACCCTTGGGGATCCAGCATGGCCCATCATACGAGTCTTTCGCTGGGCCACCGTATGGGAAAGGAGCAGAAGGCCGAGGAGGAGGGTAGAGTTCACCGTGAGAGGGCGTTCCCGGCCAAACAAATGGAAGAGGCTCATCGTTGTAAGGATTGTAGTAAGGTCCGCCGTGTCCATGAGGATTGGTAGTGGGCCTTGCGGTGGCGTATTCTGTGACTGTAGCAGTCACAACATTACAAGCGGACGGGGCGCGAAACTCGGCAGGTGTAACTGCGGGATACACAGAAGAAAGGGATGCCGTTGCGGCAAGGTAAGGACTGTAGGCGACCATGGCGTAGCAATAAACAGATGGGACAAGTACAACGGCTGGGTACTTGCTCTGAGAACGACCACAAAAGAAACGAGTGACTGTGTTAGGAAGAGACTGGCCTGGTCGATCGAATTGTTCAGGGACAACGCCATCTATAAATGATCATCTCTGAGCTGAGGTTTGCCTTAACTCCATCTCCTTTGTTGGACTATGGTACTGCGTATACGGCCTGCCCAAGGCTAAGCCCGAAGGATAGAGACTTGAGACACTGGCATCGTGAATAGTTACTTGAAAAGGAAATCTAGAGATGTAGCGAGGGCCGATCCTCGCCTTGTGGACGTTATCAGCAAATGGTATCAAGAGAAAAGCGAGGTTGAATTTCTTTTTCAGCGTTGATATGGATGCCATGGAACGCCACACAGACGTCTAACCCTTTTGGCGAACACGAGATCAGCCACCCAATACCAACACCACGTATATCGGTATATGATCTGCAGAGAGTCAAGTCGTGGCTTCGCTTGTCGTTGCTCGTCACAAAAGGAATACGCGGCATGAAGTGCCGGTACCTGCATCAGGGGACAAGCGAACGTGAGGCTGAAAGTCGCCAACGTCACAAGCTCGCGTGCGCATGAAGGCACAATACACCTACGCTGTTCACAACGGAATCAACGAGCGGGCATCCTAAAGTATATTTTGATAGTAGTCGTATAATATGACACTCCTGATCGCCATGGCGTGTCGGCTGGCGGAGAGCCTACGTACGGCTAGTCAGGGCATTTCGTATTGCTGTGAACGCGGGGCATTTCTTGGGGCGCCGGATGCTTGCGGGAATTGCCATAACGGCAGCCCGCGAAGCCTCTGCGAGAATGGACGCTTGTTCGAGTTTGTGGCGATGTGGAAAGCCCAATGGCGCAGCGAGAGAAGAAAAGGGCCGAGAAGTCGTTGTTTGAGATGTGAAAACAAGCTTCGCCTAGCCGTGCACCGGACGATCATGAAAGGGGCCGGAGCCCGGCTACCCAGCATCCTTCAACTGTTCTGAAGTGTCGACGATGTCAAGTTCTACCACGGGGAATATCTTCCGTCATGCAGTGCATCTGGAACTCGCTAGTCGGTATGCTTTTTGTCCAATTGCCCCATCTTTTACGTATTGGAAAAACGACTTTATGGGTGAACCCCCTGCGTCTAAGGCCAGGCACCAAGTACTCGGCGTGTGATATGAATGCATAAAAGCTGATGCTGACGCGCCACATATTCGCTTGCTAGTGAGGCGAAGTGCTCTGGATGCCTAGTGTACTGGTGCTAGTATGTTAGCGCATTAGGCAAAGAACTTACTACAATTTCCATATCAAATGGCTAGGCGCCAGGGCTTGCCCACGGGTACACTAACAAATGTCAGGTTCGGCTACAATGCATTGTCCTCAAATAGTAACAAGTGCTTTTCTCTTCCAATTACCTTGTACTGCGCCTCTGTATTCTTTGACTCTTAGTCTCGCCACCACAACCTCTGCCAATTTTCTGGTGCAGCGCCTCAATGTGTTCTAACCTTCAATCTCGCCACCACAGCTTCAGCTCATCTTCGGGCATGATTACGTCTTCTTATCGGTGTTTGAAAGTCACCGCTATTTCAAAATGTTGAGTGTTTGTGAGTGGCATCGGCTGTTGCCGCGATCCATCATCAAGCCATTATTGACCTGACATGTAGCCGTGTGTGAAAGTAGTGGGCGTGAGCCTGAGCCGTTGACACCGCTTGGCCATCAGACGAGTTCACGAGTTCTTAAGTCGGAAGACACGCGTTGAACCGTAAGCTGGTTGATGGTTGTCGTGACGAACAACTGAGCAGCAGCTATTAATCTGCTTTTCCACATATTTTGTGTCGTCCACTACTGCCACTGTGCCACGTACGTAAGGATGTGCAAGTGCGGGCTTTCGCAGAGCCTATGACGGGTTTTGCCGTGCACTTTTCTCACAATGTTTTTCCGCGATCTTCCCGAACCCCGACATCAGTCTAGATGGGCCTATTCCACCAAGTCACCGCATAGCAGCCAGTTGCATAGCGTCTCAGACTGTATACCGCCGATACTCTGGTTCAACGAGAGAGTTTCTTGATCCAGTATTACATGTATCCGGTACGGCGAACATCGAGAAGAAGGCCAGTCTTATGGGGTAACCGAGAGTGGGAGGGGTTGGCTTAAGAATTATGGCGAAGGGATGGAAGGGGAAATGGCTACAAAAGCTGTCAGTTCGTGGCTCGCAACGCCAAGTCAATATCGATCTATTGGCAGGCAGTCCAAACCCCACTCTCTTCAGTTGGACATTCGTGGTAGAATTGACGTGCCTTAGCACTGACCCCTAAATCCTTCCAGTCATGAGAGACGACGGGAGAAGACTTATTGGGAGCAATTTCCCACTTGCAAAATGCCAAATATAGTGTATCGGAGTAATATTTGGCCCTATTATTCGATACTAAAAGACTGTTTGCGGACCCACTTGTCGGAGATTTCGAACTATGAAGGGATAGTTTCCTTTATACCTAAGCCAGAGGACCCTAGAGAAGACTGCTAGAAGGTTGCTAGTTTGGGGATTGAGCGATTTATCGGGTTGGGATTGATCTCGACCGAGCGGGTACCAAGGGAGTGCTGGGAAAGTCACAAGTTACTCGATCACATGATGGGTGGCCGGATTAGTGTGAAGATCGGAGTACAAAGTCAGGGATTTGCGGCAAGAATCTTAGTCAAGGACTTTTGGTCTTCACAAAGGTCGGCTTGTTGATACCATATTATGCGGCCATGGCCAAAAAGACATGACTATTGCACAATCTTCGATAAGGGAATGTGTAAGTAGGCCTGAAATCTCAATTGTCATTGGGATGGTACTGGGAGAAATCAGAAGATCAGTAAAGCCGAAGACTAAAACAATATGAACGAAACAGCGCTAAGCCTATGGGCGTCAGAATGCGGTTGGCGTAGAATGTACTTTACCGTCCATTTTAGCCGCTGTTCATGCGCTCTCATGTGAACGACATGTCGGCGCTAACAAGGGACAGAAATCCATGAAGCGATCCTGCACATGGTGTTTCGTCTGGATCCACTATAGTGTTTCAGCTTGGCGCGCGGAACATGTATACGTCCCTTCACCTCAACTGACGTACTCTCTGGTCAGCATTGGAATATGCCGTCGTGTATGACTGGGAGGTAGCCTTTGGCTTTTATATTAGACTCGCAAACGGCATGCTTGTGCAGTTTGGGGTCGTGGAGCAGCTCTGTCTCTGGCATCAGGCGACTGCATCTTGACCCGCAGTGCAACTCATGGCGCAACCCTGTAAAATTGCATAGGATAGCCCATGATTAAAGCCAGCCGCTCAACGTCATGGCATCATGGCTACGGGCAACCAGAGATTTCACGTGGCGGGCGAAAGCTAGTTTTGGGTGCTTACAGGCTGTTACACAGTAAGTAGACGTTGGCTGGCTGCGACAAGCCATCCACTCTGCAACGTCGGGCATGACATGGCAGATGCCGGAATCCGCATACACGGCGTAGAAACAGAAATTGTGTTGTAGAATCAGTGAAGACGTACATATCAGTGACGATTGAAAGGATGGGGAGGGAGCCCCTGCAGTGCACCGAAATCTCGCCTATAGCATTATCAAACCAAGGCTAGTCCGGATTGGTCAAAGGCTGCCGGCGCTAGGCCACGTCGGACATCTGTCACTTCTCCACCACCAACCCGCCCGCCTGGTCGTGGCCCGCAGACTCCTCGTTAGGGCATAGCATGTGTTCCTTTGTCAATGTTTCCCGTCCGTTGCCTCAAACACGTTGCGCCCCCCCTGTGCCGCTCTGGATATTGGATGCGTCGTCGACGAAACGGCTAAACACGCCTGTGCTAACTGGTTCTCGGCCCTCACGGCAGAGACTGACTCCTACGCGGAGCAATATAAACCATCATGCCCTTCACCCATGGAAACTCTAACGCAGCTGCGCTGGACATTCCTTCTTTGCAAGATTCGTCATTCTCTGCTTGTTTGTTTCTTTCAGTCACTCTTTCGTCACTCAGTTGACCAGTCACTCATTCTCAACACCATCGCTACTACATCCCCGCCAACATATACAAGATGAAGACCGTCGCCACCATCGCCGCCTTGGCCGCCATGGCCAACGCCCACGCCACTTTCCAACAGCTCTGGAAGAATGGAAAGGATCTTGAGAGCACCTGCGCCAGGCTGCCTTCCACCAACAGCCCCATCGAGGACTACACCAGCAAGGCTCTTCAGTGTATGTCTTCTTTTTTCTTCTCTACCGCCAACATCTCTCGTACTAACCCAATTTTAAAGGCAACGTCAGCCCTGCTGCCGCAAAGGGAAAGTGTGCTTTCGCAGCTGGTGACACAGTTACTATTGAAATGCACCAGCAGTTCAACAGCCGTGACTGCAAGACCGAGGCCATTGGTGGTGCTCACTGGGGACCCGTCCTTGCCTACCTGTCCAAGGTTGAAGATGCCGCCACTGCCGATGGTTCCAGCGAGTTCTTTAAGATCTACGAGAACACCTGGGCCAAGAACCCAGCCGCGTCTCAGGGAGACAACGACTTCTGGGGTACCAAGGACCTCAACTACAACTGTATGTTATTCATGCTTTTATATTCGACACCTCTGACAGAAATACAGGCGGAAAGCTCGACTTCACCATCCCCAAGGACCTCGCCGCTGGTGACTACCTCCTCCGCGCTGAGGCTATTGCGCTTCACGCTGCTGGCCCTGCTGGTGGTGCTCAGCACTACGTCACTTGCTACCAGCTTACTGTTACTGGTAGCGGTACTCTCGCGCCCAAAGGTGTCACATTCCCTGAGGCCTACAGCAAGACTGGCCCAGGTCTTGGTTTCTCTATCCACGCCAACCTCGACTCTTACCCTGCCCCTGGTCCTAAGCTGATTGCTGGCGGTACCAAGGCCACCCCCTCCCTCCTGACCTTTGGCACCCTTTCTGGTGCTCCTGCTCCTGAGGCTGGTGCTCCTGCTGATGATGAGACTCCTGTCGCTTCCGCTTCGTCTGCTGCCGCTTCCACTCCCGCTGCCACTCCTAGCAGCCCCGCCGAGGATGCTGAGCCCTCTGCTACCCCTGCTGAGACTCCCGCCCCTGTTGTTCCCTCTCCTGCTGCCCCCTTCCCTATCAGCAACAGCACTTCTTCTGCTCTCCCTGTCGTTACCTCTTCCAGCGCCGTCGCCTCTACCACCTTGGCCACCGCTGTCCGCCCAACCCCTACCGGTGATGCTAGCGGTGATGCTAGCGGCTCTGTTAAGGAATACTACCAGTGTGGCGGCATGAACTACAAGGGTGCGACTGAATGTGCCGAGGGCCTTGAGTGCAAGCAGTGGAACCCCTACTACTTCCAGTGCGTCAAGTCTGGATCCAGCAACGGTTCCCAGTCTCCCCCATCCAACAACGCTCCTTCCACCGGCGCTCCCTCTACCGGTGCTCCTTCCACCGGCGCTCCCTCCACTGGTGCTCCTTCAACTGGCGCTCCCTCCACCGGCGCCCCATCTGACAACGGCCCCTCCGACAACACCCCAGCCCCCAAGCCCGAGCCCACCAACGTCACCCCCGAGGCCGCTCCTTCCGCCACTCCTTCCGCCCCCGCCGCTGGCGCTGGTGAGAAGAAGTACACCCTCGAGACCTTTATTGCCTTCCTTGAGGAGGAGGCTGGTGCCGAGAAGGCGGCCAAGATCCGCCGTATGATTGAGGCTCTTCTCTAAGCCATGTATCCCCCGCCTGCCGGGATAAAACATCTTTTGTATATATAGCACCTTTTTAGCCTAGATGGTGATTTCTTCGATTCTTGTAGCGATGTTTTTATCTTGAATGACGAATTCTTTTGCATATATACTTTGAGCTTCTTCTGTGCATGTCTGAGTGAAGTTGTGCTTGCTGTTGAATGATGAAGGGGTTATGCATGTCTCGGTGGACTTGAATAGTTGAATGAGAAGTGGTCCTAGCATAACGGTATGGTCGTTTAGCAGCACCTATATTACGCACTTTTAAGCTGTTAGAAACAACCAGATCGACGATGCTAGACCTATTAAGAACCCCTGGACTTTACTGCACAATATTATGATGTTAGTACTGACGCTAGCTGGAACTTGGACAGATGTTCAAGAAAGTCTCTATCGTACTACTTTTATCCAGCAAGAAAATACCAATCGAAAAGGCAAGCAAACACACACAAACGAGACACACGTGTACATTGATAAATGAGGTCATCAGCATTACGATTAAAGACAAAGAGCTACTCATCAACCCTTACCCACCACCACCCTTTCGCATCCAAACTCACCCCCTAAACTTCTTCACCACCCCATCCGCACTCCTACGACGTTTCGTCTTACTAGCCGGAACAAGACCCGAGCAATCCTGCAAATTACTCGTGTCGACACCCACAGTCGACATCTTAAACCACGCCGGGACAAAAGCTTGCGTCCATGCATCCGTAGAGTCGATAAACGAGTCCCAGATATCCGCCGTCTGTATCATCTCATCAGTATACAAACCCCTTCTTTCGATAATAATAATAATAGTAGTGGAGAGAAGGGTTTGGGGAAAAAAAATAATGGGAAAGGATTGGGAAAGAGGGGGAAAGGGGTAGAGTACACACCTCATTAAAATGCGCCAAGGCAAAATCACTCTGCAGCGTATACGGGGCCGTCCTAAACTTTGTCTGATTATAATACAAAGTATCATACCTCGACGGCGTACTATCCAACCCTTTCCCCGCCTGCTTCGGATCATCAAACAACTGCACCGCCACACTATGCGTGCCCAGCAACGCAATCATTTCCTTTGCCGAAATGCCCAAGGCACGGAAATCTGCAATCAGCTTTTCGGGAGAATCGCTGCTTTTGGGGAGGGAGCCAACAGGTGCGGCTTCCGCTTTGTCGGGGCGGCCCACGAATGCTTGAACGCGTGGGCCGAGCGGGCAGGCAGAGATGGCGAGGGCGGCGCCGAATTGGATGATGTCGGCTGCGCCGACGTTGAATTGGGTGCGCATGCTGCGGAGTGTGTTGCATGTGTCATTGAGGCCGCGGTTTTGCGTAGCAGAGCATTCGTCGGTGAGGATTATGCTGCCATCGCAGCCGGAGTTGCAGTCGTGGAAGGCAAGGCGGATCAGGGTGTGGGCGAATTTGCCGCATGAGGTCAGTTGTTTTTCGAAGGAGGCGGCTACGTCGGTCCAGACGGAGGGACAGGCGCTTTGTCGTGGGAAGAGGCTGAGGGCAGTGATGGGGGTTGTTGTTGCCGTGAGAATGGCGAGGACTGGGGTTGTGGGACGCATGGTTGTGAAGGGGAGTGGGTGTTAATGGATAATAGATCAAAGTAAGATGAAAGGGAATAGAATGTATGGTGTTAGGAATTATTGATATTATACCATATCTTGATGGCAGTCCAAGAAGAACAACTACCTGATGTTAATGAAAAAATGAAGTTAAAAAACCTGATATTTATATCATCGATTGAAATTGAAACCATCGTGAGAATATTGATAAAGTCCGCGCTCCTCCGATCTACAGGGTTCGCTCTTAGTCATCTTGATGTGGGTGTTTCTACGCATTTGCAAGGGATGCTGACAAGAAGCATGGGAATGGTAAGACGAATAGATCATAATGGTCCTTGACCCAACCTTCCCCACGGGGAATCAATTTCCCTTCATCCTAGTTGAATTCTCATGCTACTCGCAAGCTTTACTTACCTCGACATAGAATTCATGTCTTTGATCCCGTTTGACTATGTCGTTTACTAAGTTCATAGGCACCCTCCTTGGCGACGCGTGGTGATGGCATTGGCGAACAACCAAGGCTCATTGGTCGATGATTGCTGATATTATAGTATTCAAGCGGCTACCAGCGAGGAGAGTAGGACCGACCGGCTTATTCATAGACCTGGCGCTGACCTGTACTTAATACGGAATGCACGATGTGAGATACGGCGCATCGGGCCGGTAATAGCCCGGCTTCGAGCCTTAGGACTGTCAAGAAGTGGCATAGTAGAATGGGCCTATTCTAGGATCTCATCGTAGACAGCCTGTCGAACTTTGTAATTTCGATAGCGGCTGACTTCTCGTGCATGCGTACACATACATCGGCTGGGAGATTAACGTTTTGACATGACGGAATGGGGTAGTTTCCTATTCTGCAAAAGGCTGCTGTGTTAGCAACTGGTATCAATCAGGTCCGAGCGTACTGAGTGTCGATCTGTTTTTCTAGAAGGGATGGCAATGATCTTTCTCGCGACCATGACATTGCTTGGCGTGCTTGATGGTCTCACTCGCCAAGTAAGAAACCCCTTGAGATGCCTGCATAACAGGCCCCCATGTTCTACGTCTGTTCTCCGATGCGAATGATCGGCTATCCGAGCAGCATGATTGGGCGATTCACAAGCGAGATTACAGATCGATGTCGAATTAAGCTTCAACCATAAATATAACTAGCATTGTGGGAAGAGTATTGAATTTGACGTTGGCACTCCTTCAGCTGAACTGGGTACACTAAAAGCCATTGGGGAAGATGTCAGACCGCCGGAAGAAGCGGATCACAGGTGATGATTTAGTCGACTAGCACAAGACTTGAGGTAGTCATGTTGCACGGGAGGTTTTTGCTCACTGCATGGAGTACCTCGGGACGCAGTCTGGATCGCGCATTGTCGCCTTTCGCGATTTTTGTTGAGGTGTAGACCGGCTTTTGTTAATGCGTGTGGTTATGATCACGGCAGGGTGCGGTGATGCAGTGGCCACCAATGGCAATTCAATCGTCAGATCGACGGTGAAAGGGTGAACCGGGCAGCCGGGGGGAGCCGGGAAAGAGGGAATTTGACTGGACATGGCACGTTGGTGCATGACTTAGAACAATGCGGCTCTAGGTAGACAAATCGCGCGTCTTTCCTCTCTTGCATAAACTTTACTCTTCCACGAACAGCACATTGCCAGAACGAGATTATTCTCTTGTGCCGTATCACCTACTCACATCCCTATCAGGTAGGCTTCCATATACTTTTTCGCCAACTGCGGTGACATCAACGGTCTAAGAGTGCTCAAGAAGCTATTGTCTGGCTGACGATGACAGGAGGAGGTCTGCCGTGTCTGTTCAGCCACAGGACTGCAGGCGGTTGTCCCAGCATGACGGATGCCGTTGTCTGTGACCGAATGATTTGCTTGGACAACTTCAAATCCCTTCCACTCCCGTGACTCGGTGGAGCCAATCAGACACGTTTTGGTGGTCTTTATCTACATTCCAAGCGAAGTCCGGACGACCTATCATTCGTGCCTTGATTGACAGGCTAACCCAGCGGTCCTCGAATGCAATCAGGCGGAAATACCTTAGTTTCTGGCATACCTTTAGAGCGCCCCCAATTGGACACCACTTATCGGTTGAAAGCTGGATATGGGAAAGGACGATGCATTGAAGTGATGAAGAATATGTTCGGATCAGATCAGCCAAGTCTTTCCCATGCGGTGCACAGTTTATAACCTCGAGTGTCTCAAGACATGGTAGTCGACAGGAAGTGGCTAGATATTTGACCACGATGCCACCAAACGAAGCCGACGGCCACTTTGCGCTGACACGATCCAGACTCAGAGTCAGCTTCTTGAGGTTAGGTGCAGCAGCAATGAAACCACAAATACCGCTGGCCCACCCATCTGGGCGCAGGGCCTCGTAACCTGTCATGATTGATAATGTGAGCGACTGGAGATTGGAAAAGCAATGCTGCAGCGCCTGTAGAGAGAGTGGACCCAGTTGGAAGGCCAGAAACGAAAGGTCAACCGGTTTGTACAAAATCTTGCGGCTTTTTCTTCTAGCCATGCTGAACTCTTCCAGTTTGGTCTTGCTGTGGGTAATAGCGTAGATGACGGCTTCAAAACACCTGCTTCGAAAGAGACTATGAGGTGTTTCGCTGCGTTCCCATATATACGATGCAGACGGCTTCATACTAAGTTGGATGGTTTTTAATCGAGGCAGACCTTTGAGAACTTTCAGAAGCCCGTCGTACAGGCGCGAGGGGTGTTCGTGGTGCAGTACGTAGGCATATGTGGCCGCCTCATCATTGACGTTGTTGTCTCTTACACCTAACACTCTAGGAAATCGCTTTGGTGGAGGAAATCGACCCACACGGCTAATTGCATTCAGATTTGCGTATTCATCTTCGTTCAGGAGCCGGATGTGGAGAGTTTTGACGGCATCCCGAAGACCTTGATGGCTCGACACCTTGTTTAGGCGATCAAGTGATGATGGGCTGAGAGTGGTAACTTGCTCGGAAAAGGCGAGACGCACAAACTTTGCATGGACGAGCTGGTAAAGCTGTTGCGAAGCTAGACGGAGGCTTTGGTATTCTGGTAGACTGAAATCGGCAGCAATCATATCAAACAACTCAACAGGTAGGCTCTCTAACAGCGACTTCATAGTGAAAAGTGGAAATGAAAGCGAAGAGGACGTGAGATTTTACAGCAAAAGGTATGCTGATGTGCAATTCATCAAAGCTGCCAGGCTTTGATTGAGGAGGCGGACGGAGATGATGTTGTGGATTGAAGGGGGTGATTGACGCACAGGCCAGCAGGCTTTGCCCAAAGAATCATGTCAGCGTGAACCCCGCGGGAGAGACGGCAGCCAGCGAGCGACCACGTCTTTGACCCCAACGACGCTCCTTGTGAGTGTACGATATCCTCACAGTCTCTTACTTGGACCGTCACTTGTTTCCTTTTTTTTATACACACACCCACACACACGCTTAAGCTTACTCAACCACGACAGCAACCGAGACGCTGCGAGCGGGTGCACAAGGCTTTTGCAGCTCACCTCAGCACGTCAAAGCCTTGCACAGCATCGACGACGGCAGCAGCAGCAGCAGCAACACCAACCTTCACCCACAGTCATGGACTCGATGCGAAGTCTCAACACGTCGCTGCCCAAGACGAGGCGGCAGCCTGACGTGCACCAGTCGTTCCGTACCGCAGCCTTGAACGTGACCAATCTGTACAAGTCCGCCCTTGCCGACCTTGACAGGGCCCGCGCAGACGGCTATCAAGAAGCTCTCGATGACCTACTGGCCTATCTGGACAAGGAGAACATTGGGGCAACCGGAGGAGAGAGCAACAGAATACGGCAGTGGGCGACGGAGCGCTTGGATGGATCTCTGCCCAAGCAGTCGGGCAGCGAGAGTGAAGAAGAATACCTCGATGATAAGCGCGCCCGCAGCTCGTCACCCATCATGGAGCGAAACCTCAGCCTGGACGATTCGCACACTCTCGACCCTGTCATGGAGACAGCAGACCGCTGCGACTCTGCGCCGCCTGTCCAGATGGAGGCCACAACAACCGAGGCTGACTTGTCGCCCTTGCACCACGTTTTCCAGTTTTCCACGCCCCAGGCCTTCCCGTCCGAGACAACAAACGACAACAACGCCACGGATGTATCAGCCGCTGCTCGCCGCGCATTCCCTAATCCCCGACGATCTTCAAACCGCTCGACTGGACGAAACCTGCAGCGATCGGCGGCTCAAAATCTGTTTCAACTCGGCACTGGCGCAGGGCAGAAGCGACGGCTCATGAACGACTTTTTCAACGTGGACGGATTCAACGACCGGCGGGACGGCTCTTCCGGGGGACCTAAGCGGGGGCGCATGTCCTGAGACGGCTGGCCAGGGCAGTCTGAAGATATGGCGTCCAAGGAGGATTTGCAACGAGGAGAGCAAGCCGGTGGACGAATCACGAATCACGAGTAATTGCATCATACCCCCCGACGGCGCAGTGGGCTTGTTGACGATTGTATGCATTGGGTGGAGCAGGCTTTAATAGACGCATTCTCTGGTGTTTATTACTTTTCAGGGCATATACCTTTTCGCATTTCTTGTTTGCGCGGCGGCGATTTCATGTAATCGAGTGGCGGAGTTTAGTGGAATGAGAATGGATTTGGGTCTTAATGTGATATTTTGAGTCCCAATGGGGCATCTGATGCTTTTTGTACTTTTGAAATGTGCTGTTGAAGGCGTTTTGGTCAAGGTGAAGGTGATGGTGGTGGTCGCGAGGCCGATGAGATGAATGGGCAGGTCACGTGCGTCCTAGGAAAACCAGCGATAGATGCCCAGGCCGACCATGACGGCGCTGGTGCCGGTGATGGCCATGTGTCTACTGCGCACCCCAAAGATGCTGTTGCTGGCTCGAATCGCAGCTTGATTGGCGCGGATTTGCGAGTGGCCAGAGACATAGGTAAAGGCACCCAAGCCCAGAAATGTTGCGCTGCCTGCAGGTCGGCATCAGCACATGGACTTGATCAGCGCAGGCCTGGGAGCAAGCATACCAACCACGCGACAGGGCGTGCAGTCTTCAAACTGGGCGCGGTCCTGCTTCAAGGCTTGTTGGAACGTGGGCGTATCTGCATCTCGTTGCGACATGGTTGCAGGTAGGGGTCAATAAAGGTATGTGTGGAGTACGTGTATGCCTATCTTGTACGTACAGTGCAAGCCTCGCCCTAGGCTGCTCAAGTTCCCCACACTCTCACGTCGTCGCGCGCGTGCGCAGCCTCACGCCGACACTCGTCCACCATGAGCGCGATTGAGGCTCTCTACCTCTTTGATGAGCACAAGTAGCCCATCCCTTCTGCCAGCCCCGTTGGTACCACGCGGCTAACTCGCCTCCAGCACGCCGCTTCTGGAGCACGTCTACGCCAACCGCCCGCCGCCCGCCAGCTCCCTCCTCCCCCTCTATCTCGCCCATCCCGCCCCACGTCCGCCCTTGATCTACCTGCCCAACACCAACCCGCCCACTCTGCTCTACTCCATAGTCCAGGACCAGCTGCTGTTTCTCTGCCCCTCTTCTGCAGATACCGATCCCCTCGCCATCCTCACCTTCCTCCACCGCCTCACCGATGTCCTCGAAGACTTCCTCGGCTCGCCCTTGCTCGCCTCCAAGATCGAAGCAAACTACGATGTCGTCGCCCAGCTACTCAGTGAAATGGTCGACGGCGGTATCATTGCAAACACCGAGCCCAATGCGCTGAGAGATGTCGTCGAAGCCCCCAACCTGCTCAAGAGTCTGTTGGGCGGCGTTGGATTGCCCTCCTCAACCCCCAGCTCACTAACGCCCTCGTCCACAAGTGCGTTTGGTCTTGGTGGTGGAAGACCAAGCCCAAGACTAGGTCCCTCGCTATCCTCCAACCAGACAGCGTCACCAGTCCCATGGCGAAGAGCAAATGTCAGGCATACGAGCAACGAAATGTACGTCGATATCGTCGAGACACTTGAAGTCACATTATCGCCCTCTGGTCGACCCTTGGCCGCAATGGCAAACGGCACCATTGCATTCACAGCAAAAGTCTCGGGCGTCCCAGATCTCATACTACAGTTGGGCTGTGCCGGCAGTATCCAGAACACCGTCTCCCTCCCAGTCTTCCACCCGTGCGTAAGGCTTAACCAGTGGAAGGCTCGACCTGGAGAACTATCTTTCGTCCCACCAGACGGCCGCTTCGTGCTAGCAGGATACGAAGTCGACCTACTCGGCTCGTCCGCTCTGGACGCCTTCTCAGCAGATAAGTCCGCCAGGAACGCCATGCCCAAGCTCAGCATCCCCGCCACCGTCTCAGTCCACCCATCTCTCGGCCCAACCGGCTCAGACTTTGAAGTAAAACTCCAGATCAACCCCCGCTTCGCCGGCAAATCCTCGTCGCAGTCCAGCGCCGCAAAAGCCAGTCTAGCACGTGCCTCAGCCTCAACTGGCACCACGTCGGCGCCCGCCATCGAGGAAATGGTCATTCACATCCCCTTGCCTGCAACCGTCAAGAACGTAGTCGATATCCGCGTGGCGCGCGGCATGGGCGACGCCGGCTACGCGCCCGGCGACCGAGCCATCGAATGGCGCGTCAGCAGCCGCGAGGTAACAACCCTCATGTCGCAAGACCGCGGCGCAGGCATGGGTGTCATAGCCACGCTCCGCGGCACCGTCATCGGACAAGACGATCCCTCTGCTGAAGACGGCATCGACGCAGGCGGCCCTGTCTCGTTCTCCACATCAACGTATGACTACGATGACGATGCCCATAATACTTCTTCCTCTGCAAACGCTGGTCTCCCTGCATCTTCTGGGCTATCCGGTAAACCAGATTCCGATGCAAAGATTAAGCAGGCGAATAAAGTCCTCATGCCGAGTTGTGCTACGGTTAGCTTCTCCGTCAAGGGATGGCTGCCCAGCGGTATTAAAGTAGAGAGTCTGAATGTTGATCAGAGGAAGAGCAAGGGCTTGGGCAGCGGTGTTACGCCGTACAAGGGTGTCAAGTATCTTTGTGTTAGTCGCAAGGGTGTAGAATGTAGATGTTAGATTTTGACAATGATTGCTCCAAAAAATGTCAAATATGATGCATAATGAAAAGTCCTCTTTTTCCTCCAAAGAAAAGACTGGTTTCTTACTGTTTGGTGATTAAGACTTTTTTTTTGATCTGTCTCAGTTTACACGTTTGGTCAAGTAGCAACAATTCATGAAAAACAAGTTGTCATTTGTTTGGAATATTGGGAACGGTATATGGTCTATGTGCCCCCCCCCCTTTACACTTTCAAATGAGCACTCAAAGCACGACTCTATATACCCACAATTGTAAGCTGTATATGTATATATCTCAGCCCACAAGTCAATCGATACAAAAGAAAAAAGAAGACAGACGAAATCACTCTTCCCCAGAATCATACCACCTTATCGTGGTACCACCCTACTTGCGTGCCCGAATAGCGCCCATCTTCCTCTCAATCTTCTCCACCTTTGCCCTCAGTGCTGGGTAGGTGGCAGCCAACTTCTCCAACATCGTCGTGCCCTGTACATTACCAGCCGCCTTCTGCATGGCGAGCTTATTGGCAAGGCAATCGAACACCGGGTCGTTCTCTGGGTAGGCAAACTTGCACATCAGATCCATAAACTCAAGGGAGATGTCCTTGCTACGAATACGTTCGCAGAGGTGCTTAGTGAAGTGACCAACATAGGTGTTGTTGAGGCCCATGACACGCGCGGCGCGGCAGATCTGGATGTTCCTGTAGTCGTTCACTGGTGCCGAGTTCAGTGAGACGGAGTAGACACGGCCCTGGTATGTCATTTCGTTCATCCAGTTAAGGAGAGACTTGGCGGCCTCTGTGTCCATTGAACCTACAGGGAAAGACCACAAAGTTGCGCCCGGATTGGTCTGGAAGTGTTGGAATGCCTTCCCGGAGCATTGCATCAGGATATACTGAGGGAGGGTCTTGAGCTCGACTTCGCCGAGCTTGAAGGAAACGTCTGGACCATTTCCGTAAAGAACACGCTGAGTAGACGGCATGTGTCGAATGTCAGCCGAAGGGTTGAAATTGGGCTTCACATCCGTCTTGACGCGTGCCTGTTGTGGTGACCGATTCCACGACGTAGCGCGACCGTTCTTGCCTCCCATGAACCCTGGAGATTGTTCTTGGTTCTTGATAGACACAACAGTAGTAGGTTTCTTCCCATATTTGGACATATCGATGGAGAATGTCAGTATCCTTGGCTTGGGAGCAAGAGGGACAACCTTCAAAGTCTCTTTGGTCACGAATGTCGGGGAGTCGGTGTCGTGAGAAGATGGACCTTTCACAGACTTCTCAGTCTGACCATCTTTAGTCTTGTCGGTGGGAGCAAGCTCGGTAACTTTGGAGACAACCCCTTTGGACTTTGGCGTCTCGACACCTTCGGGCTTCTCTGGAGCAACAGTTGACGTAGAAGTCTTGGCCTCGGGCTTGGGCACCTCAGTATTCTTTGCATCGTTGCTCTCAGTGGATGATTGGTTGTCTGAACAGGACGTCTGCTTGGGGTCTTGTGTCGCAGTGAGTTGCTTCAATGCGGACTCCAGGCTCTGAATACGGTCGTCCTTCTCGGTAGACTCGCGGTACAACTCCTGGAGTTTGACGGATTGTACGTGGTTTTCCTTCTTCAACGTCTTGATGGTGTATTCTTTCACTTCTATCTCCTCTTCAAGACCTTGAATCTGCTCGTGGTTGTTTCGTGTAGCGACTACTAGCTCGGCAATGCGGAGATCCTTCGTGACAACGGTCGCTTCCAGTTCCTTGATCAGCTCATCCTTGACTTTGGTAGTGGTCTCTAGAGAAGAGACGGTCGGGTCGTCTTTCTGGGGTGCCAACAGGGCGAGAAACTTCTCATCTTCCTCCTCATCTGCCCAACACACCTTCTTGACACCGGGAGTGGCAAGATCAACGCCGTTTCCATTGGTCAGACTGTTTCTGGCGCGTGCGTTGTTTATAGTCTTCGAGAATAACCCATTCTTCTGCTGTATGAGAGAGCTGTCGTTTGACTTGTTTGGTGATTTGACAGATGTGGCGGTGGGCGAATTTGGAGAGGTAACAATGTGCTTGCCAGCAGCCCAGAAAGCATTTCCGTTTGGCATTTTGAGAGGAGTTACGATGTGCGTATGCTGATGGGATACTGAAAAGTTTGTTGTTGGAGAGGAAGTGACGAGTCGATGAGGAAAGAACCTGAGCAGTGAGTAGCAGAAGTGAGTTGAGGAAAGAGAGTTTTTGATGGGTAGAAAAGAGAGAGAGCAAGCATTGAATAAAAACTGAGTAGAAAGCGGTTATGAAGCGGCTAGGAGTGCGCAAATTTTCAATCGAGTGAAAGCACAAGCGCAGGCTCCACCGTGTTGTTTAATAAGTGAAGGTAGGAAAGCGCGTCACACGACGGACCTTCCTTGCAAGGAGATTATAGTCTAGGTGTGAAAGCGCCAGAATTCACGATCTGCATGCCTATTCTCTTGAATAGGCATTCCTAAAAGGCCAGCAAACGCCTGTAATCACGCCCGAATTTAAAGCGAGTCACTGTAAAAGAGTGACTAGTTGGAGTGGACTGACAGACGCACGTGATGACATGTTCACCCTTCGACTCCCATTGACACTTTGACCCATAATCTGAGATTGAATTATGTGGCAAAGAGTTAGCAAGTCATCGCGCTGTGTGAGAGTGGTCCATTCCCTCAATTCTAATCTTACCATGGTGTTCCGACTCTTTTGCAACACTGTATCACTGAGAGTAGTCGGCTTCGCACTCTCAATTTCACAATCACGAAAAACACACCAAATATGCGACAGTATAGTCGAGAATTAGGCGTTCATATAGAATAATGAACAATGTGCACACAGTCAACCAAGGACGAAGTCCTGCTTCTTGCGAGCAACAAACAACACACTTGGAGTAATTTCTTGAAGTCAGCTCGAGTTCCAACTCGAGGTCACACACAAATAGTAAACAAACAAGCTGCAAGTCAACACAATCTTACTTGCATCTATGTTACAAATTCAAACATGACGCAAATAAACAAATCAGTCCTCGTCCCCGCATCCGAAGTCCGAGCCGCACCAGCCAATAGACACGCGATAAAGACTACATAAACATATATTCTCAATTGAAAAGTAGACACAGCCTTGCGCAAAGAGAAACAGAATCAATTTCCTTCGCATCACAGCACTTCCTCACCTCCACGTACCCCAAGTCACACAATCGCAAAACCCACAATGTCACTCCAACCGCGCAACCTCTTCTCCCACCTCCCACCCCCCGCCGAATGCCTCGCCCTCTTCATCGCAACCCTTGAAATCTTACCCTTTGGCCTCCTCGGCTTGCGCAATCCCACCTCCTTCGCCGACGGCTACGGCCTCCCAATCACTACCACACTCCCACCACCATCATCCACCACTTCATCTTCCAAATCAACAAAACGCACATCTACATCTACATCTACAGCATCACAAAACAAACAAGACGACGACACAAAGAAAGCCCTCGTAGCAGCAATCGCAGCGCGCAACGTGCAAAACGGAGTGTTACTAGCGGTGTTTGGGTTGGTGCTACGGGATCGCAGGAGTTTGGGTGTTGCGGTTTTGGCGGGGTTGGTAGCGACGGTTGCGGATACAGTGATTGTGCAGGGGTATGGGGTTAGGGATAAGGTTCTGGGGCATTATGTTGGCGTTTTTAATAGTCTAGCGATTGGGGGCAGTTTGTTGTATTGGGGGCAGAATGATCCGTTGTGGTGAGTTTTGGGGGTGACTTGATTGTGTTTGGCGCGTCGAGTCAGTGCGGGTGTGGTGAAATTGGGGTTGTGAGTTGGGGAAATGGGAGTAAGAGAAGGTGCTTTGAGTATTATGGTTGAAGTTGTAGTATGCGTCAAATCATTTTTCTTTTGATGTTTCACAATATTTGCACTATGTTGATTGGTGTTTGTTTACCTATGTAAAGACCGTCTTTTTCATATCGTGGTTCAATCAGAGTTGTCCGTGTATGTACAACTTGTTGACTTTAAGCAGCCAAACATATCGACGTGTGACTTTGGAGACATATTTCACCCTACCAGAACGACTAAATTGAAAAAATTCCATTTTGGAGCATACGGAACTAAAGAGTTACCAGGCCCAAGCAACCGTAGTACGTCTAGTCTGCATAGTTCCTGAAAGAGCATACTAGCCGGCACCGCGGGGTACCAGGAACCATCAATTGCCCCTCCAAAAGTTTCCCATCCTCGTCTCGCATCCCACATTCAACAGCCACAATCTCTACTTTCCCCCTCTTGTCTCTACACACCCTCAAAAGATAGGAAAACATCAAACATGACAGGCCCCACGCACCTCGACCCCTCGGAATTAGGCACAAAATCCTACTGGGACGCAGCCTACACAACCGAGCGCAAAAACTTTGCCGCAAACGCCTCAGACGAAGGCACAATTTGGTTCAGCGACGCCGGCGCAGAAGAGCGCATGCTGTCTTTCCTCGAAGACCTCAGCGACGAAGGCCAAATACATAAAGAAGACGATGCGGAAAACAAGGGCGCACGATTTCTAGATCTAGGCACAGGAAATGGACATTTGCTGTTTGCGCTGCGCGAGGACGAGTGGTCCGGAGAAATGGTTGGTGTGGATTACTCGACGGAAAGCGTTACACTTGCGACGTCGATTCGAGATGCGAAAGACGAGGCGTATGCGGATATTGCGTTTTATGAGTGGGATATCTTGTCACAGGCGCCTGGTGCGTGGTTGGGTGAGGGCTTCGATGTTGTACTGGATAAGGGCACGTTCGATGCGATTTGCCTGTCGCAAGAGCAGGATGCACAGGGGCGCAGGATATGTGAGGGATACAGGGAAAAGGTTGAGCCGTTGGTGAAGAAGGGGGGAAGGTTTCTCATTACGAGCTGCAATTGGACAGAGGAGGAGTTGAAAGAGTGGTTTGGAGGCGGAGGATTGCAGTTTGATGGCAAGGTCAAATATCCGAGTTTCACGTTCGGGGGCAAGACGGGGAGCAGTGTGGTTACACTCTGCTTCAAGAGGGTATGAGTGGTTCTTTCTGCTACGATCGAACGAGTCGCCGTAATCGCGCAACGATGAGCCACTTTTTCCGCTCGCCCATATTCTCCTGGCCGCCATCACGCTCCTTTGCCCACGGCCGCCGCTGTCCGTCCGCGTCCATTTCGTAGATTTCCTCGATCTCGAGCCCTTGCTCTGGTACAACCTCCTCAAAGAAAGGCGCAACCTTGGCACGGCCTGTGTGGAAACCCGCAATACAATATACACGCGCGTCAGGCGTATCTGCGAGGAAGTGTAGCATCGACTTTGCGAGGTTCTCATGCTCTCCAGGCATCCAGAAGCAGTCTGCTGCGAGTATACGTGTGTAGGTATGGGCTTTCGACGATTCGAAGGCTGTGGAAGTGGAACCCCATTCATGGCCTTGGATGGTTACTCGAGATTGTAGAGTAGCCGGTATGTTCTTTGCAACGTTCGCCTTGAGGGTATCAAGGATTGGAGGTGCTGGGTAATCGGTGATGGCGACCTAGCAGACGGTCAGTCCAGACACACTCGCAACCAGATAGATAGCCACAAACCTCTTTGGCACCCGCCAATGCGCTCAACATCCCACCCAATCCTACGCCTGATCGGGCAACATACCATCAGCCCTCTGCTCACAGTCATGTCTTTTCAATCCAACCCACCTGCGCCCAGCTCCAATACCGACTCGTCCTTGACACTCCATTTTTTCTCCTCTTCCTCACTAGTCCACCATTGGCCGTTCTCCCAGCGTGTGAACTCGTCGTTTTCTATCTTCTTAACGGACTCCTCTTCTCCATCCTTAGGCCGTCCAGTGACTAACTCTGCCATCATGATGCCAGCATTCCATAGGTAGTGGGCAAACTTGCGCCTCTGCTCCTCGCCATTGAAGTCGGCCGTCCTCAACACCAGCTCGCCATATTTGTGATTTTGATATAGAATGAGGGTTTCTGGGTTATCGCCGTGCTGGTTCTGCAGGTCGTCTGTGAAAATGCCGCCTAGCGATGAGCCAAAGATGTCTTCGGGTGTGAGGGTCGCGTCAGCCGGGCGGCGGAGATTGATGAGCGAGGGCAGGCGCATAGGCATTGCGAAGAATGCGGGACAGCAGTCTCGAACACTAATCGATGTTGGATTGGTGTGTATATGCGGCTGAATGATGCGTGTGTGTGGCGGCACTACATACACGACGGAATCTGATGGCGGGGCAGACGGACATGCAAGGGCCCCGCTTTGCAGGGATGAGATGGACGCGTCCAACCCAATCGTGAGATCATCAATTGCCGAGGACGCAGAGACCGCTGTTTGAGCCTCAGGTGGTCGACTTTGACTGTTCCTCCAGACACCACAACACATTGGCTCGACGCCTACACCACCACCACATCCACACTACGACTGGCATTGCGCAACACCGCCACCATGTCGCTATCGTCGTTCAAAAACCCGACGACGTACCATTTGCTGAGGTACCTTCACCGCAGCCCCGCTACCACCACCCCGTCGCATTCATGTTAACACAACACGCAGCTATGGCACTCTTCTCGGCTCCACGCTCTTCCAATCCTTCATCTCTGGCGTTGTCGCCTTCCGAGTCCTGCCCCGCTCCCAGTTCTCCCAGCTGCAAAAAAACACCTTCCCCATCTACTTCTCCCTGCAGACTGCTCTCCCCGTCGCAATGCTGTTGACCTATCCCCGCGGCGGCGCTACTTCTCTTCTCCCCTCGTTCCTCCAGCCTGCCTCGGCCGCCAACCCTCCTCCGTCCTTTTCCTTCTTCGCGCCCGCCACTCCCGCCGCGTCCACCAACAAGCTCGCTGCCTGGCTGCACGCCACAATGCTTGTCACTGCGCTGGCCAACTTGGTGTACATTGGACCCAAGACAACCGAGATCATGGGCATCAGGAAGCACCAGGAAACTCGGGATGGCAAGAAGAGCTACGACAATGGGCCCCATAGCAAGGAGATGCAGGCGCTCAACAAGCAGTTTGCTATCCTGCACGGTGTCAGCACCATTTCCAACCTGATTGGACTTGGCGCCATGATTTGGTATGGTGCTGTTCTTGCGGATGGACTGAGCTTGTAAGATGTTGAACATCGGATTATGTTTATGTGATATGGTGCGATATGGAGACGTTTTTGACTCGCAATGCATAAATGAGGTATGGTGTATGAATGAGTAGAGAGAAAGGACGAAGAAACGAAGAGACGATTGAGGACGACGATTGGAAGAAGGCTGTTGTAAATCCGCTATTGACGAACATGTATATACGTGTACATTTCATAAATCTCAACGTATACCGTGCTACGTCTAGGTGAGATATGCTTCCGTGTATGTATAAACACGAATGCCAACGTCAGATTTCAGTAATTCTCCAAAACTACGTGTTAGAATATGAATGGTCTCTTGGCCTATACGTGAACAAATATATACAAGAAAACAACCCCGAAAGCTGTACAGCACTGAGGATACCTGTGTCCATTTGAGCCACCCGTGACTCTACATATCCTCCGTCACTCACCCAGAGCGACTCATGGCTGAGACCACAACATACTCAATTCGCTTCCGCCGCAGGTGCACTGTTGCTATGTGCATCAGCTACATTAAGAGTCCTCTGAATCCGCCTCTCAAGCTCATCCTCATCCTCAACCTGGCCATGCATCGCTCGTATAAACTGAGCGACACCATCACGTCCCACCTCGACCTTGCCTCTAGGGCCGACGATATAATCGACTGTCTCGTCACCTGCGCCCGAAGTTTCCTTGACACGCACAATGTACCCGTCTTTAACCATGGCAGCTATTGCTTTGTCTTTACTACCCACGGGCGTGGTTTGCTCTGCATTCATGCGCCTGAGAGCGCGGTCGAGCTTGCCTTCTGGCATCATGCCCCCGGAAATGGTAATGAGAGCGATAGTTAGAGTGTACAAGCCAACGTAGGCGTCTTCCTTGTTTGGCATACCCTGTTCAAGTGGCCGTGATGGACCCACAATCTCAGGTATGCGGTACTGGCTGGGTAAAATGCTCTGCAAGACCCATACGCTGGTTGACTTTGACTGGGAATCCGATGCTAGAGATGCGGCTGCTGCTGCTGTAAAGGTAGGTCAGACAAAGATAAGCGATGCTCTAGGCGTGACTATAATGCATACCGCGCTTTTGCCGCAGTGTTACTCGTTCGGCCTTTGGTAGTTCGACTAATTGCATTCCAAACACGTCCATGAGCTGGCTGTTGGCTTCCGCAAAGACTTGTTTGAACAGCCGGGTTTGAGCACCAAGCACTGTTGCTGTTAGCATGAGTCGTAGACACGATAACAACAGCAATCAGGCAGTGCAAGTGCAGACCTTTTTCGTTAATATCTTGCCGCTTGATGGGCCGACGTGAATGCTCACACGACAAGGCGTATCGGACTAGGCCTTTGGCCAGGTGCTGCACACCCTCAATGCCCGCGCCGCCATCTCCGTCAAGGTCGTCAGGAACCTCTGCCACTTCCATCATGTCGTCCGCGTCCTCTAGCCTAGCCCTCCGAGAAGCCATTTTGTGCAGTTGAACACGTGCGTTAGTTGCTGGCGTATTAAAAGAAGGTCAGACATTGGCGTCGGCCCTCAAGCCCCCCCGGCTGTAGGGCTGAATGCACGAGGCGAGGCGCATCATCGAGCCGAACCATGCATGGCCCAAGCGCGCCGCGGTGTTTGCAAGTCTTGGCGCGCATACGTCGGTGCATGCCACTGCATAGACGGTCACTCTATGCACTCATGCACCCATTCATACATCCACCATGAGCGCCATCCGATCCGCTGCGAGACGTCCCGTCTTCCGCTGTCTCAATGCCCCGGCGCCACTTCGATGTCGCCCCCAGGCCCGGTATAACTCGCGCTCTCACAGGTCAGACCTGGAAGCTGTGCTCAAGCAGAATGCTCCTCCCAAAGGCCCCCGCATAGATGAGGACTTTGTCTCGATACACCGCGCAGAGGCCATTCGCCGTGCTGCTTATGTGCGCAGGCGCAATTGGCTGGCGCTCGGTGCGGCTCTGTCCATGATTGCTCCCATCTTCCTTGTGCGCTTGTGGGATGTGCAACCAGTTGATGGCGACAAGGACGGAAGCTCAAGTCGATCCGCAGCAGACCTAATACTGGGACCTCCCACCAAAACAGATGCCCCTAAGAAGGCATCCGATGAGTTTCAAGGCAAAAAGGTTGTCGTAGCAGCGGGTGACAAAGTCATTGCTGCACCCGCCGACGCAGAGAACCCCCAACCATCACATCCAGACGCCATTGAGCTCGTTGAGACTGGTACATCATATGTTCCTTACTTTCCTCGTACAATCCGCTTGCCTACCGACACCGCGGGCCCCGAACATGTCGAGAGTGACGCCGAATACACGCTGCTGGGTCTGGGGATCAGAAAAGTCTCGTTTCTACGTGTCCAAGTCTATGTCGTTGGACTGTACGTCAAGACAGCCGACCTATCCACCCTCCAAAACCATCTCATCAACACTGTCAACCCCACCGCCTCAGCCCTGATTCCAGACGAAAAGAAAGCCCTCCGTGATTCCCTTCTCGACGCAGAGAAGAGCAACAAGATCTGGGAAGCCATTCTGGACAGCCGCGGCACAAGCGGCGTCGACATGGCATTCCGCGTTGTACCCTGCCGAGGCACAGATTTCAAGCATCTCCAAGACGGCTGGATGCGTGGTATTGCATCGCGGACCGACGAGGTGCGTCGCAAGCAGGCCGATTTACTTAGGCAGCAGGCTGCCGAGAACAAGACCATCGCTCTCCCTAAGCCAGTTGAAGAAGGCGAGTTCCAAGACGAGGCGTTCGGCCTTGCTATGAAGGAGTTCAGGAACATATTCCAGGGCAAGGGTAAGGCGCCGAAGGGTAGCGTTATCATCTTGACACGGAACAAGAATGGGACGCTTGGTGCGTTGTACCAGCCTATAGTCAAGGTTGAGAAGAAGGAGAAGATGGGTACGCCCACGTGGCTGGGCAAAGTTGACGATGAGAGGGTAGGTCGTCTTGTTTGGCTGCTGTATCTTGGGGGTCAGAATGTTAGCTCTGAGGATGCGAGGAAGAGTATTGTGGATGGGTGTTTGGACATTGTTGAGCGGCCGGTTGGGACGCTGGAGACTATGGTGCATTAGAGGTTAGATTCTTGTGTATGAACAGAATATGTGTATGATATGGCAATGAGTTGGTTCGCCCATGTATATTGACGGGTAAGTTGTCTAGCTATGGCGAAGTTGATGTGCCTTTTTACGAGGCTTAAGCAGGAGGTGATGACTTATGTTGTGATGTTCAACATCACATACTACGATTATGAATAGTACATCTCACCTCGCATGCACATCATTGTACTCCTGCAACATGCTATAACCAACATCACTCATACTTTCCACACTCACCATTCCAATTTCAACTCCCCTCATATCCCCTAACTAAACGCTACCCCTACCCCCCCCCCCCCCCCTTCGCATCATGCCCTCACATCGCACCCACCCATCAATGACTTCATCGCCCCACCCATCAAGCCTCCCCCACTAATTTAGCTCCCGTCCCCCCATCCCACCCTCTTATGATGTCAGTATCCTCCCCCTTGCCCCCCCCCCCTCCGAGGATCACCTTCTTGCCAATCAATCGCACATACTTGTCGATGTCGCCGAGAACGCCCGGGTAGATGTACGTGGTGATGCTCCGCGGGTATGCCTGCGTGTGGAAGTGATAAGCTTTTGGTTAAGAAGGCGCGGCATGGGGATGCGCGGTTGGGAGCAGGAGTGTGAGTGGGTGTTGCGATGGGTGTATATGTGTGTGTGTGGATTTTTTGCAAGGGCGATGACGGAGTGCAGGAAGGGGTTTGGGTCGTAGTTGTAGTTTTTTATCTTTCTCTGGATAAAACTACGTAGGAGTCGGGTGATATTTCTTTTTTTTTCTTCCAGGATTTTTTTTTTTGGCATCTACACCTGCTGAGTAAACCAGCGGAGTAATATCGAGTTTTATTCTTAACTTGTATCGAGGATCGTGAAGTCGGACTTCAGCACTACCCACGAGGAACATCGCACACTCTGAATAAGGGTAAACATGGCAGTCATTTGGGGTCTCGACCTCCACGAGATACAATGGGCGAAATTCAAATCGGGCAATATGTGGAATTCACGGTATCACGGCCGGCGCACCAGGTTTATTGTGTATCAACTCGCGATGATATTCACGGTTGTGAGCGAGTCGCTGGGAACGGCGGCATTATCTGGTACTTCCCCCTCTCCCTTTACACGGCCTTCTTCTGGGGTCTAACAAGTGGACAGATTACACTACCCAGCAACGATACGTCGCGCATCTCAACCCGAATGCGACGGTACACAACAACGACTTCGTAGGTATAGCTTCCTACAACATCTTCGTCGGGATTTTCGTCGCTACGATATTCGGTGCGGCGTTCTTCTTCGATCTGTTTTGGCCTGAGCGGCGCGAGTCTGCCGCAGTGAAAATGGCGTGGAGGGTTTGCTCCGTGCTAGCGTGCGCGTTTACGCTGTCGTGCGCATTGGCGTATACGTATGTGGTGGCTGCGAAGAGCGCGTATGTTACGGGTGCGAGTCTGACCGAGGCACGGAGGTTGCTGGATGCGTATGGCGGGAGTCCGATGGTGTATCGGCGGAATGGAAGGGCGGTGGCGAGTGTGGTGTTGCTTTGGGTGGGGATGGTGTTTACGTTTTGGAGGTAAGTTTACTCCACTTCTGACAAGAGGCTTTTTTCGGGAGGGGTGTAAGAGGATGCGGCTGACGGTGCATAGTACGTATCTACTCTGGCATTCAATTGCTCATATTGATGCTTTTGGGCCTATGTCTACGCATGCCAGGAATGAGAAAGTGGAGGATGGTGTTGAAAGAGATGGAGATGTGGAAGTTGCAAGGCCAGCACAGGCGCATATGGCACATGATAGTGCGGTGTAAATGGGTGAGGAACGTGTTTTGGGTGTCTCTAATCTACCGCGAAGCACTGCGGTACACGAACAGCACTGTTGCGGTGTAGAAATGGCTTGGAAAGGGTGGGAAGAAGATTTCGACATCAGAAACAGCGTCGTAATCTTGTTTCGAGCAGTGAGCATTCGAGCAATGAGCGTTACTAAAGTTATCTTGATACCCAATGGTAGTTTTTAATGAAGAAATTCCCAAGTGCCTTTTGCAAAGCTTACCACTGCCATTTACTCGAGTCCCCTTGTGTTGATTGAACATACGAAGAGCTCAGACTGACTCATGGTCGAAATACACGATCAAGACCAGTTCTGAAATTGTTCTTCATACTTCTCAGTGATTGGGCACGCGAAGAAAGAAGGTCAAAATGAATTTATGTGCGTTGTTGGGGCAAGGGGTTGGAAATTTGTTATTTGCAAAATTGAGTGATAGAAAGACTCAGGGGAGCGGTGCAGATGTTGAGAGATAGGAATGAGAAGCAACGAGTAGTCTATTCATTGACTACCTAATACTGCTTCTTCTTTGTTTTTTCTTATTCTCTAGTCATCACACCTACTCTATGATTTGATTGATTACCAAGCTGCTCTATGCTGGTAGCAATCCACATGAGGGTCAGGTTTGAAAAGGAATATAGATGCTGAGAAAGCTAGTATGAGTTGAAAAGATAAACGGTGAAAGGTATGATGAACGATTGGACGGTGAAAAAGTGCTTCTTTGCAGATAGAGTAGAGTGGTAAAGACGTAATACCTCGCGTCAACTCCACATGCATGCAGTTCCCATTCAGCCATTTCCGCCCAACACAGCCACAGACGTAAACGGTGAGAGAACCATGGCAGTAGCGAGGAAATGCTTGCTTCTCTGCAGCAACAGTCGCAAGTGGCGGAGGCAGGGACAGCACACCTACGTATGTAAGGGTCCCCGATCGTGCGTTTCCCCTCCAAAAGCAAACGACACCCACCCACCACGTGGAAGGCTGCAGAGAAGAAGAAAGGAACAAGAAAAACAGGGTAAAGCGAACATCACGCCATACCCGCATGTCAGATAAGCGATTAATCTACATAGATATAAGCATGATTACTGAACCCCAATCCTTTTCTTCTTCCCACCCAACATCCCATCCCACACAGAATCCTTCGTGAAAAAAAAAGATATCCCACACACACCTCACACGGCAAAAGTAAAGTAAAACCCCGGGAACTCAGCGTATGTGTGTGCATACCAAACCTGGTTCCCACACACACGCATACCCGCCACACACATAAAAGACGGAACCTGAGACAAAGGGGGGGAAGTGGAAGAGCGGAAGGCGGTGGCGCAGTAACAGACACACCGGAGCAAGCAAGCAACACAACACACCGGAGCTCCGTCCAAAAACGGAAAAACAAAAGACAGCCGGAAACCCCCAACAACAAGGGACACACAAGTAACAAGGGGGGGGACACTCACTCACGTCAACAAGGATGTCAAGAACGGGAAGTCTTTAAAAAAAAGGGTTTAAAAAAAGAAGATGACGATGAACCAAAAATAAAGACCGGACGAGGTTATACGCTCCCATAGCCCGGCCCCATATGCGATAATCGTTTTGCAGGCGTAACCCTTGATTTTGCCACGTGAAGAAATGGGTAGTATCTCATGTATGCAGTACTACGTATGTATGCAATCGACCCAAACTACGGCGTCGCCTAAACAATGTACATGTCCGATAAGCGACAGGTGGGTTAGGTGGGTACTATCTGGTCTCGATACGCGGGACTCGGGTAAAAAAAAACCCCAACTTGTTCATTCTTTTTTTTTTTGGCGGTTTTGGGGGGTTGATCGAAATGAGATACATGGTGGACTGATTACGATTAAGCCAGTAAACACATATGTGTATGTGGAACAGATAAAGGTATGTTTGTACGTTAAACAATACACAGATGGATGGATGGGGGGGAGGTTGGGTGTAACTAAAGCAAACAGAGAGCAAAGCAGAGCAGAGCAGACGACACAACACCACACACCGGTAATATGCACTGAGACACACACACACATACACCCCGTCTACCCAACTGGCAAAAACACGGGACCGATCGTCATGCCGATGATGCGCCGGGACGGAGACGTGCGTGTATGATGTGCACGAAAAGTCCGGTCAGCCAGCCAGGGGTTGGTTGGTTTGAAGACGGCCAAAAAAAAAGAGGACTGGGCGTCTGTCACCTTTTTGTCGCAGAAAATGAGATTGGGGTAAGGGGGTGTGTGTGTGGGGGGGCGGAGGCGAAAAAAAAGGGTACATAGTAAGAGGGACGGAGAGGATGGGTGACACACCCGTGTTTGGGGGGGCAAATAAGTAACAAGTTTCCAAGTCCAAGACACGCTCATTGACTCAAAAAAGGGTTTTTTTTGCCGTTTGGGTAAAACACATAACATAGACACCCATGTTCAATCTTTATTTATTTTTTCTTGTTTTGTTTATGCAATGTTCCCTGAATTTTATCTTTCTTTATTCACCCGTGTAAGTGGTCTTGTCTACAGTAGAGTGATTTTGCTTCATAGAAATAACATGCGACGGGAGAAGTGATTTTAACTTAGAGTGATCCACTTGGGGGGTGGGTGGGAGGATAGGCGGGTTTTTTTTATTAAAAACATGCTCATACAGCCCTATGGTGGAAACGACGAAAGAAGCCGAAATTGGCCTTCCAGAAGCCTGTTTGCGCATCGATACTTACCCGTGACCACGATTGCCCTGCAGGCGGGAAAATTACAATCGGGACATGGGCCTCTCGTGGCGATGAAAGCTGCGCGTCGGACGGGACAAAAACACTGTACTGCTTTTTCTCTGGGATACTTGCAGATGGCTAATCGATAAGGAGAGACGAACAGGTTTACTTTTGGAGTAGAGTAGTCTTTGGACAAGTTGTTTTTAACCTCGGTCGGCTGTCCGTTGTTTCAATGTCGGGGTGGGTGGTAATGGGAAAAAGGAAAGGAATCGACGGGCACCAGGGAGCGTGTTTCATCTCGCAACGGCGCCCAACGCAAGACTAGCGTTCATCAGGTCTTTTCCGCTTGTGGCAGCTGAAGAAGGCGCTCGGACACGGCGCTAGTGGGCTTCGCGTGGAAGCTATGCCGCGTGGTCGAGTGGGCGGCCCCTTATGATGAAGGCGCACGCTAACATCGTGACTTCCCGTGTCCGCGAAATGAAGACTCGTCGCGTTGGGGGAGCGACGTGGCCGTGTGTCATAATAGGGCTGAAGAAGCCGTCTGCGAGGCCGGTAGAAAAGAGACGTGTCAGTGCGGCTGCATATTTCACGCATTTGTGCAGGGTCCTGCATGCTTGCCACGCACCAACAACAAGACTTGCCAAAATACAAACGGTGCCTGATAATGATTATTATTATTATCATTTCAATATGTCGTGACTCCAAATTTGTGCACTGTCACTTGAGACTTATACAGGGTGCATACGGCGACATGGCGAGATAATTGGATAGAGACAGAGCACAGCGTGTCATGCCATGCCGAACAGTTCGCATTTTGATCTTGCTCTTGACCAAAGCCGAGAGCGTCTCCCTGTCAACGAGGGCTGTTGCGTCGACTAGGCTCGAGTTTAGCCGCTCGAGCTTGTCGTGTTGGAGCACATCATAAGGTGCCATCGTGGGACCACCAGTTCAGACCGTACGCCGATCAGCCATGACCCTAACAATCGAGCCAGGGCCAGCAATATCCACAAGCTACCGGCTGTTAGTGCATGGGCGTCAAACAATAGTCAGGACGCGACAGTTTCTACCTTTTCGTGCCAACTGAGCAGTACGCTCATGGCCTGGCCTCCGCCCTCGCCACCGCCACGGGCGTGGATCTGGGAGAAACCCGTGGGCTGAGGCGTGATATTGCGCGTAGTGGCCACTGGCGTCGATTGGGCCATGCCTTTGTAGCTGTAGCAAGGACAGTCAGTTGTTGTGCCAAAGGTTGTGTATGTGTATGTGTATATGTGCGTATGTGTAATCGTGTTTGTGTGTGTAGTACTCCACGTACATGTACTTCATCAAGACGTCCAGCGCCTCTGTTCCGCTGGGCGAGCTGTATATCCGACTAAGGATTGGTGACATGTCCGATTGTCTTATCGACTGCAGTATCTCAATGACGACGGCAAGGTGAGTCTCCTGTGCAGCAGTCAGACACATTGAATTTGCTCAATGGTGCTCGGCCCAGCCATGAGAAAGACCAGTGACAGCATCAGCACACATACCTTTCCCTTGTCATCAGCCCCATATGGTGGATTTTCCAATGCGCTCTGCAAAGCGCCCTCACTGTCTCCGCCCCGCAGCTGCTGCCGTATCTGCTGCGCATTGTTCTGCACGTCGGCTGTCGACACAGGCGCGACAGCTGGGACGAGGGAGCTCAGGTCAAAGTTGGCGGGGCTGTCCGGGTCTAGGGCATCAATGTTGATGGTGCGCCAATTGACGGTAGCCATGGTGAAAGCGGCAGTGTCGGAAGAGAGCTAAGGTCAGGTGCGAAAGTTTTTTTGGGGAGGTTTGGAGTTGGAGAGACGAGTGTTGGGGGCGGGGTGAGATGGCGGTGTTTGACGATACAGCAAGACGTCGTGCTGGCTGGTGGAGCTTGCGGTGAGCTGGACGCAAATCGGGACGCCGACTTCGTGGGGTGCAGTCGCCACGTCTCCACTCTTGGGCCACGCGTGGCCGCCACCACTCAGCACAACAAGACAGCATCGGGTCCTTGACATGGTCTGTCGCTTCACTGCATGGCCAGAGAGGGTTAGGGTAAGGGTAGGGGTTCCGCTCAAGCGGGTCACACTCACACATGACAGCGCGGACAAGTCATCATTGCATGTATGGTGCGGCAAGTAGTTTATAGTAGTAGTAGTAGTAGTAGTACATTGTTGATTAGTCTAAACCGATGCCGGTAGTGTTGTGAGACACTGATACCAAAGCCCAGGCAGTCGTTCTAAATGTCAGAGTGATAGAGAAAAAAAAATCCATGGGTAGCGGCCAAACACATGCCCTTCGTCAAGAGCGTTGTGGCGAAACGCAGAATCGTCGCGCAATGCAGGCAAATGCCGCAGACCCAAACCGAACGTGCTATAGTACAATACAGTCCATGTCTACAAAGTGCCGTTGAAGGCAGACAATGGATATCTAACCGTGTGTGTATTTTGTCCTCGAAGCAGGACATAAAAGAAAAAAAGAAGATCAAGTCCGTTTTTGGTATCTATGCCTGGGCCCAACCATGTCTATAAGAACGCCGTGTGAAACAAAGAGGTACTTTTTTGCCGTAAGAAAGTGTCGCTGAACGTGGGAGAAGAGTGAGAGGCGCTCGAAAACGCGAAACAGGAACCGAGGAAGCGGGGGTATTAGGTCGCTGTCAAGAATGGAATCGGAAGGGTTGCGGGTGATTAAAAGGGCGTAATCTCGATAAGGCTCGGAAGCAAAGGCGCTGTGTGACCAGCGAAGTGCTCGGTCGTAATGGCGTTGGCGAGCAATTGGAAGTGAGACTGGAGTGGGTGTAAGCTGATGTGACTTGGGAATTGATCGAGGCAGGTGTGACGTACAGTGCGCAAGGTGCTATCGATCGGGTCCCAACAGGACCACGATGCTTTGGATGAGATTGCAGGGCGTTGATGCAAGCCATGAAAAGCAAGGAGCAGGAAGGAGGGAAAAAGCATTGGTCCGTTGAGATGCCATGACGAGTGTCTTATTTGGAGGGTGGCGTGGTGGTGGGCGACGGCTGGGGAGTGCCAGTCGTGTCGTAAGCACCGCGTCCCATGTTGTTGGACTCTGATTCTCTGACGATCATGGTGTTGATGAGTGTGTCGTGTGCTTTATAGGTGTTAGCGTCTTTGTTGCACGAGCCGTGTCAGGTAGTAGGCAGGGCGCAGATGCGTGTGCAGGGCAACGTACAGATTGAGGAATACAGCTTGTCAGCGAGGGCTGAACAGTTGGCCAGTGCTAATAGAGCCCTGGCAGATGGAGACTGGCGAGAGGAGGAGAAGAGTCGACGAGGTGGGCGAGATGCAGCAAGCGGATTGGGTGTCGAGGGAGGTGGATTAGGTAGCGTGGAGGAGATGCAGTGGACTGGCCGGGCAGTGACTGGGCAAGGAGAGAAGAATGAGTGTAGATAGCTGGAAGGGAGTGAAGGTGATGAGTGTGTAAGAAGTGAATCCACCGGGCGCCTTTAGCCTTCTATATTCGCAGCTAGAATAAGGGGGCCTGTTACTGACTTGCCAGACGTGGCCTTGGCTCGTCGGCGAGACAAATGAAATGAGCGACTGTGCTTTTCAGGAAGCAAAACGCCCTGACTACATGACGTTCCGGGAGCGACGGGTCTTTCGGCCTGTTTCATGGTAGCTCCCTTGGGCGGGCAAGGAGCAGGGTGATCTGCGCGCTGAATCCACGGAGGTGGTATGCCCCCTGTGGTAGCGGCACGCTAGAAGGCCGTACCTGCAGCGCTAGGAAGAGCCACGCCAACGGCTGGACTGGGGGGGTCAGCCGTCGTGGCATCTGCGACGAGCGCTGGCACTCTCAGTAGCCTACTAAGTAAGTGCTGTCTAGGGCCTGCTGACCGCCGGCATTGCAACCTGCCCCCGTCTGTCTGTGTACATACCCGGCTGTGAAGGTAATGGTCGTGTATACTACCATGTACTCACAGTAACTCTGGGCTTTTTTTTATCTTATTTTATTTTCCTTTGTGTCGGCCCAACTTGCCCGGGCACACCCACCTGCACACTCACACACTACCCTACTACACAGGGCGGCTGCCGTCGTTGCCTCTTTTGCTTGCTTCCTCTGCCGCCACCCTCTCACCCTCTCACCCACCCACCCATACACACACACAAGCCTAGCCATGCCCTTACTCACAAACAGTGCGCCCTTGCCCGCCCGCGCTTGGGTGTGACGACGCCGCCGCCGCCGCCCAGAGTCGTGTAGGAAGGCCTGTTCCTGGCATTGACTCGCTGTGCCGCCTCCTCTTGTTGGCTCCAGAAGCAACGAGAAAAGGTTCACACGCCTCACGGGCGTTCGGGAGTCCTTCCCCGGGTGCGGTCCGCGGCCTTTTACCTGAATCACCTCTGTGCTGCTCGCTCTTTTTTTTGGGCAGCCCTGTGTGGATGCAAGGGCTCGTCGGTTGTATGTGAGAAAGTGTGTGGGCGAGTGCTAGCGTCGAGTCTCTCTGTCCACCACCAAAGTATCAAATTGTGTGCATGTGTGTGTCACTGAGCGAATGAATATGTGTGTCCATGGGCGCGCGCGTGTGTGTGCTTCCGTGCAGCCGGGTGACTGGTCGCCGGGAACGCAGTGGAGTTCCAGTGTCGTCCTGGCAGAATGAATGGGTGGCCACCGACGGGACAGCCTGCGACAGGCATCGTGGCCGGCGGCGCGCCATTCCCTGTGTAGCCTGTACGGCCACGGTATGTGTGAGGATGGGATGGATGTGTGTCCCAATTGATCCCTTAAACCGCTGCCGTCTCCGTCTTCGTCTGCCGTATCGCCCGTGTCTCGCTCCGCCACGTGGGATCGCTCCTGCCTTGCCCACCACCCACTCACCTCTCTCCAACACACACACAACACCCACACGCACCACCCCCCTTCGTCTAACCACCATCCTAGTGTACATTTGTTCATATCATACTTAGATAACAACTGTGCCGCATAAAGCAAACCCTCGACGCCCCCTTCAACCTTCTTACCACCCTCTCTCCAACCCTGACTCTTACTCGCCGTCATGGCGTGCACCCCCCCAATCCCTCCTCCCAGCCACTGCAAAAAAAAAAACAAAGGCTCCCGCTTTCCGTAATGAGAGCGATGCCCGGCTCCCTCTGCGCGCCCCGCGTCACACACACACACAAATGCTCGTCCCAGCTCGGCTGTTTTGTTCTCGAATGCTTTGGAAGGCGATCGCAGCCGCTGAGTCGCCGACCCATGTAGCATTCTTCCCACAGGTTGCACCGCACACCGACACGGAACCTGCCTGCGTCGCTCCTGCGTGCCAGTGCGACCTGGTCGCTGCGCCGTCAGACGCGTCGCCATTGCAAGCTACCGGAACCCTCCCAGCCTTCCGCGCCTCCAAACTCACGGATCCTGCACGTAGCCGTCTACACGTCCACAACACACACGCACGCACACGCACACACTCTCCCTCTATCTCTCGTCCGATGCGCCTCGCTGGCACCGCTGTCGTGCCAGCCTTTGCCCACATACCGCCCCATCGGCCATGAGACCTGTTTCTGCGCTTCTGCGTCATGTCGCGCCCACAATATGGCTAGGGCGATGAGCTGGCCAGGAAACTCTTATCCGCTTTCAGGCTTACGCCGTAACGCTGGCACTTTGCACATTGGCCAGAATGCAGCCGTTATGCCAGCGACTATGAAGCAGTAAATCCCCTGCTCGCTGCGCCGCTGATTGGCTGCCGCCAAAAAGGTTCCCTTGTCGATAGTTGGGCAAGGGGCTGAAGCATCGCACTTAGCCTGAGACATCGCCCAGGGCATCCCCGTCCTGTCTTTTCTTTTTTCCTCCCTGGAAAAACAAGCCGAAAGCCACGCGACGCCGCTTGTTGGCATTGGGTGCGTACATACTCTACTTACGGACGTACGTTGTTTGCACAGGCGATTTGCGCTTGCCCATCGTCGTCACAATGACGCTCCTTAATAGATAAGATTCAAGCAGCACTCTTGTACATAGACTTTGTTGTCGTCTGAAACCTGCTGCTCCATAAGCTTTGGTATTGCAGATTGCCAACATGAGAGCTCTCAAACCTTGTGATCTTCAGCCCATGCTGATATGGCCTGATTGATTGGCTGACTGGCCCAACTGACTTACCATTACGGTACCTACAAACTGCCCGAGTGTACGCATATACTCATCCAGCTCGACAAGCCAGTCTGCTTTGAGCCTCGTTGCGCTGCAAGGCCAAAAGAACCATACATCTCACACACATGGTCGCATGCAAACATACTTTTGTCCGTTGCACCACCCCGCGCGCCTCGATCAACAAACAAAACCGTCTTTTTTCGGCTACCAAGACCAAGGCTGCCAGTGTGTGAACCCTTACCTGACAGGTGGTGGACAGACCTCTCTCCACAGAAAACTTTGTCCAAATTGTGATGGCAAGGTGATTGCTTGCGGGGAGCTGGGAAGGTGGGTCTGAACGGCTTCTGGCATTTCCCTTTTCGAGTGCGCTACTGCAGTATGCAGCGGAAGTCCATGTTAGTGGAAGCGAATGGCCAGGGTGGCTTTCTCAAAAAGGATCAGCAGCTGCGAGAGATAACCCTGTCCACACGTGGAACACTTTTGTGCTGGTGGATCTTCGCCCTGACTACTGGAAGGGCGCCCGCGAAGCCGCTTGGCTCCAGAGCAGGCAGTGTGCCGCTGACTCTTGTGGCTATGTCGACCGGCTCGGCCTGAATGAGGTTTACGACTGTGTTATCGGAAAGGAGAATTTGTCCCGCAGCCAGCCATTTTACTCTACTAGTCGTTGACTGACAGGAACAGGCTGGGGGTCCAGGCGCACGAGACAGTATTAGCCGGTGGACATGTTCCCTATCCTCACGACGCATGGCTTTACAAAGTCGTCTCTGCCAGCGTTTCACGCACGTCTTGATTCGGTCCTTATCGTATAATCGACATGCAGCACACACACATATACTTATGTGTAGTCCCTTGTCCTCGCTCGCTCGTCAACAGCCAGACCAGACATGCTTTGTCCCGGGGCCTGCGCAAAACTCTCCCCACTGGCAGGCCTGGGTGCGATCAGCCAGGGCTGACTTTCACATCCAGGTACACACTTACATATGGTCATAGTCCCATGTGTATTAGCATCCTCGGTAACCCGTTAGCACCCTGGTGATCTCCTTGGATGTCTTGGACTGGCGCCCAATCCAGCAGCGTCGTGGGCCACCCTTTTGGGCTGCACAAACCGAGGCCTCGTCCGATCCGGTGTTCCCTGAGCCCTGTAGCCCTGTAGCAATTCGCGTGCCAGTCCCGCAACGCTGTCACGACTCGATCGGTGGTCGCACCAGCCAGGAGAAATTTCCGCCGTCGATCCCATACATCCCACTGCCCCGGCGCCCAGCAGGCATGTACTGCTCTTGTATACTGCCCTGTACCCTCGCCCTGCGCTGCACGGTGTCCGGCCTCGTTTCGCTACCCTGTACTTACATGATTAAGTATGATCCGAGCCTGGACACGAGTTGGAGGTGCGCTGACGCTTCATTTTGCAGAGCACTTGCCATGTGTGTACATGCTGTGTAGGTAATATCGCGGTAGCTTGATGGTCTCTTTCCCAAACACGGCGGCGACGCCACTCTGCCCCAGGGGAGCCGCATGCAATCATGCATACAGTTTCGGAAGTGGCCCGATTATCGTCGGTGCCGCCTGCCCTCTATCGATAGTACACACACACACTGTGGCCACCTGCTAGCATTAGGTGTAGAGTAAACCAACGCTTCCTTTCTCTTTTCCGCCTCGCTCCCAAAATAGTGCCCACTCGCCAACCTGGCGAGTGCGAGTGTCACTATTGCTATGCACATGCACATGCTACTGCTACTGCTACTGCGACCACCAGCGCCTGGCCCTCACCATGGTACACAAAATTCCTGGCGCCCAACGCCAGCACCTAGCTTCTCCCCCCCTCGCTACACCACGTCTATCAGTGGCTTGCAGTGGTTATGTCGGCAGATGTCGTGTCTGTACTACGTATCTTTTGGTGAGGCCACACACCCACACATCCCCCGGCCGCACAAAGGTAAGCCAATTCAACCACCCTGGTTGCATCTTACCACTGCATCTCGTCATAGCTACCTCTTTGATCCTACGCATGTACATGGTTACGAGCACACCGCAAATCAATTGCACCAATCGAACACGTCGGTACCCCCTCCGCTTTACCTCAGCCCAAGCCACGGCTCAGGCATTTGCAAATAAGATTTGAACGTTGATTGTTCACGGCAACACACAACGACATGTACCCAAGTCAGTCACAGGACTAGTTGGCCAGCGCATCTGCATCAACGAACACGCAATCTCACCTCCCCTCGCTCCCAAGATAGCATGCTGGCACCCGCAAGCAAAAACCCCTGTTCTGTGAGATTATAGTGATATACAGTCAGCAATACATACATACGTAACTAGAAGGTACGTACATACTAACAACATGGCCCCCCCGTGCCGCCCGCGTCGCCCACATTGTTGAACATGTGTTCTCGCACCATGCACCAAACAAAAAGGCCACTCGGCGCATCACGCTTTCGGTCAACCTGCTCTTGACTGGGTGGGAATGCCTCTGTGGACCGAGTACGAGGGTTTGTCCTACATTGACATACGCACACAACCTCGGGTACCATGTACTGCCATACCTACAGTAATCGTACGTATTACCTCAGCCTATCTTCCCCCCCACTTTGCCGCGACCGGCGCTTCTTCATCAACTCCCCAAGATATGGCCTCGACCATTCAATCCCAAGACCGCGGATGGGGGTTCGTCTTCCGAACTTGTCGCGTTTACCTACTTATGTGGTATTTCCATTCCCGTATGACTTTCCCACGCAATCATCCCTGACAGCCTTGGCTAAGAACCATCATTCCACCCCCTCTCTTACCTTCCTCCCCGCACCTCTTCCCCGCCCGAATCTTGTTTACTCGGGGCTGGATCGTATACTTTGTTGGCCCACTTCGCGTACTAAACTGTATTATTGGCGTTGGGCGAGGGGGTTCTGGTCTTTTGCGTTTCGGTATGCGGGCGCCGGCTCGCTTGCCTCCTCGGAGAGCGAGAGTGAGAGAGAATCGATGACGCGGATAAATCTTGGGTATCTTTGACGGCGACCTCGACGGGTGAAGTCAGCATTGTGGGTGGGGTTGACCTACTACACAGCAGAAGCGTTACGGTACTCGGTACATGCGAATATTGATCTTCGGTATTCTCGGATACCCGTTTTGGATGCGAGTATGTAAGTATACTAGTATCGTCTTGGAATCATGTAGATCTTCATCTTTTTTCTTGGAGATTCCCTTGCGAGCGGTATTTTTTTTTCGGTAAGTGAAAACGTAAACGTTGCATTTATCCAAGAATGGATAGCTTTTCGATGCGCGATATTCGAACTGTAAGAAGTCTTTATCGTATTTAAGTGAGACGGTGAGTACCGTGTTGGTTGTTCTTGTAAATATCACGGGTTGTAGGAAATACAGTGCTGCGCGTAGATAGTGAAAGAAAAAATTAATTGAAATAACACTCTTACATCTCTGAAGCTATATGTCCTTTTTCAATTCTTCGGGAAACAGGCTAGATAGGAATATTATTCATATACTTGACTTTTGTCAAGCTATGCTGTTTGTACTACAGTATCACATAGCTGAAGTACGGGTCACAATAACATAACTATACACCGAGCATCTGTGCGTTATTCATAGACCTAAGTTCGTACTACCAGTTCAATAAAAACGCATCAGGATTTCAATATCAAAGATCGTGAAGACGTTGGATAGTTAAGATATGACCCGAGCAGACGGAATGTATCTGGCACATGTATGTTGAGTTGAAGAGATTATTGATAGTTGTTGGTAACTGTGAAAATGTCTATGACTATAGGAAAAGATATGAACACAAAAGAGAAACAATTAAAAAAAAAAGGTACAAAGTAACACGGCTCGCATTTAGTATCAATCATAGCATGTACTCAATATTCATTTCTAGGATTTATTTTACGAATCATTCCACGCAAACAAATGAAAATCAACAGTCTCAAGACCTGTTTTTTTATTTTTTTATTTAAAAAAAGAAAAGAAATTACGACCGTACAACCCAGTCATGAGTGACTGTAGCTAGGCTCAAGTCTAATGTGTTGGGGGTTAATTCAGTGTATAACTACCAATACAACATACAGCGAGAGAGAGTGAAACTATTCCCTTTCAAAAATCTGATATCAAAACATAACAAAAGCACAAAGGCTATAACTACCCTAAGTCTGATAAAAGTAGTTAATGATAATTTCTATATTAGCTAAATAACATGATGACTATCCAAAAGTTAGCAAAAGATATGTATATACAGTGATATCAGGCCTAGAAAAAAACGGTAGTTAGCAATAAGTCAATTCAAGTGAAGAAATAAAGACAAAATTCCTTCGTTGAAAGGAAGGGGGGGGTTAACAATACTACTGAATAAATTTCTCAGGCTTCGAGCGAAGATTTCGCTGACCAAAATACTCATCCCAACCCTTTTACTTTAACTATTAGTTCCAATTTTTTTTAAAAAAAATACACGATTGCGGCAGGTTAAGGATGTGGTCTGCTATTTTTGTTTTCTGAGATGATTGATCTGATACGGCTATATAGCGTACAGAGGAGAGGAAAAAAAAAAGTAAGACCCCAGTCAAAAAAGGGGGGAAATATGGTAAATGGGAAGAGGTATGATGGATATGATTTACAGATGGAAAGGTAGCAATAAAAAAAACAGTCAAGGTATTTAGGAGATATGATGAACTGGCAGGAAAATTGTACATGACCAAAATGGCACAAATTACCACTGATAAAAGAAAGGGGTTTGATCAAGGCAAACAGCCGATCCCACGCTATGCCGTCTTTTCAAATCAAGATATACCACCCAGCAATATACAATGCACTGAGACTTTCCATACATACACAGGGGAAAAAGGGGGATCGAGTCCTCCTTAGTTTACGATCCCAAAACCCCAAGTCGGCAAACGGCACTTAATCATCACCATCATCATCGTCATCCTCCTTCCCCTTCACAGTCTCCATCTCAACCTGCCCTTGGACCTCACCCTTCGTATTCGTAGTCGTAATCTTATACTTGCCACCATCCCATAGATCCTTAAACGTAAGTTCCTTAGTACGACCAAGCGACTCGATACCAGCGATACGATCGAGGGTGGCCTCTAGGAACTTTTCGAAGCCGGGCTCGGCACAGATTTCGTTAAAGGCGCGTTGCATGGGGACGGAGTCGGCGCGGACGACGGCGTGCGAGTCGATGGAGAAGATGGAGAGGTCGTGGTGTTGGCGGATGAAGTCGGAGCGCGTCATGATGTAGCGGGCGCGGTGGAGGGGGATCGATGGCAGGATATGGCCGGCTTTTGGGTCGTAGTTTGCGTCCATTTCGTGGTAGCGCTTGTAGAGGGCGTGGGCGAGTACCATGGCGGTGGACTGAGAAGTTTTGTTAGCATTTTGGCAACAAGAATAGGTATTTAGAGAGGGCAACGTACCGCGTATTTTTGTTGATCCATGACATCGTCGTCCATTTCCTCGCCGAGAATGGCGCAGTTGTTTAGGAACCAGATTTTTTCCATTTCACAGATGCTGTCGCACTTGGCAATCATGTCTTCGGATTTGGCGACACGGTTGAGAAAGGTTAGACGACCGCCAATCTTGTCGTAGATTTCCTCGAGGATGGATTCTTTCACCTTCTCGCCATAGTACTTCATCCGATAGTTTCGCAGGGCTTGCATAGCACGGTCTTTGGTCAGATCCTTGATCTGGTGGACTTCCATGCGCGTGGCATATTGCTTCAGTCGCTCAAAGACCCAATATTTGTCCGAGTTGATAATGACAGTTGCAAGATTAGAGGCAGCCCATTGCTCTGCACGTTGTTGAATGAGCTCAAGGAGGTCCCTGCCGTCCTCGTCATCTCGAATCAAATGGGCAGAGTTGATAATGAGGATCAGTGGTCGCCCAATGGTTGCGCGTCGTCTGAGAGCTACTTTTTCAAGCTTGTTGAAGGCACGTTCAATGTCGAGGATGGGGCCGGCATCGCGTGGTCCACGGATGGAGAAGAGCGAGCCAATGTTGTCCTCGTGATATTCAAAATCGAGACATCGACCCAGCCGGACACGAAAGACTTCAAGGTCGGCATGGGCTTCCATCATGGAGCATCCTTCGCCGTTAATCTTGGCCATGGCATCAATCAGCATAGACGTCTTTCCCGTGCCCTTTTCACCAATAAGCAGATGGTAGCGTCCTTTGGTCTGGCCCCAGACAATCTTGTCAATCCTTTCTTGCTCATCACGGGGGATCCATCGATCGTAGCCTTCTTCATCATCATCATCCTCAATGTTGCCTTTGGTCACGTTAAGCCGCGTGGGTTCTGCACCGGTCTTGGGCATCTCTTTGCTAGTCGCGGCCAGATCAAGTACAGGATCGCCCTCACGAAAAGCATTTTCCATCTTTTCGAGCACGTTCCACTTGTAGTACTTGGTGTAGCCAATGCCCACACAGCCCAGGATAAAGATGCTCGCTCCCGTCGTGGCAGCGGCCTCGAACATTTTCCAGCCAGTACTACGCCAGGCAGCTCTTTTGGCCTCTCGTTTGTCAGACTCTGCTTCTGCTTCTTCCTCCTCCAGACGCTCAGCAGCATCGTCGACTGGGTTAGGCGCCTCGTTACCGGGAGCAGGAGGGCCAGACTGGCCACTCAGAGCGCGGACCCGCCGAGGATGACATAACCTTGTCCGCAGTACCGGGCCAGCCTGCTGAGAGGGGTACGCGAAGGGCTGTCGCAGATACGCGACTGGGAGGCGCATTGGTTTGGCCCCCAGGAGGGGCCGTAGGATTAGCATTATTGCTGTTGTCGGGTGCGTGCGCGTGTGCACGCGTACTATAAGTAAATACGGGCGCCGCTTAACCGGCCAAGACGAAAGAAAGGAAAAAAGAAGAGAAGTGAAGGGAGTGACGAGACAAAAGAAAGCAGGGAGAATGGGGGTGTAATGCAATGGAACAAGATGGCAACACGAATGTAAGATGATCCAAAAGGGGGGAAGCTGGTAGTGGCGGGCCGAGGGGCGGGAGATGCCAAGACCAGATAGAGGCAGCTGCGATGGGAGACGAGATTGTGGGTGAGGGGAGCGGGACACACGCGAGAACCCCCACCATGTCCCATATCCAGTCCTCTCTACATGTCAACTACATACACATGTTTATGTATATACGTGTGTATACAGACATGGCCAACCGGACATGTCGCTGGCTGGCGATGACGATGCCATTGCACTGACGCCGCCGTCTGCGGCCCTAACTAATCGCGCTGGTTTTGGTGTGTCTTCGGAAGTGGAGTGCGAGCTTAGCGGACCATCCCGGCGCTGTCGAGAAAAATATTCTGGAGAACATGACCGTACCGCACTGCACTGCTCCCCTCCTCTCTTTCTCCCTCTACCCTCTCTCCCCACCTCTGCTGCACATCAACGCCTGCCGTTGGACGTCAATGCCTGCGTCCTGTGAATTGCCCTAATTGCCCACTCCAATTCCCTCCTTGCATAGTCGTCCACTGCCCGGGCTTGGGGCTTCCTATTCACTCATAGCCAACCATGGCCGCCAACGCCAACGACACCACCAAGTCAGGCGAGACTCCCGCGACCGCCACCGCTCCAGTCGACACGGCCCCCGGCAATGAGCAGACCGATGGCGCAGACCAAGACGACGGGGCCAATGGCCAGCAGCCAGACAGTAGGTCCCATGAGCACACGAGACATGTATAGGAAGAGAAAAAAAAATCGCTAACATCGTCAAGACATTTTCCAGGTCACCATCAAGCTTCCTCATGAGCCCTTTGAGATGCCCATGACCATCTCGACGGCAGAGCAGGTGCAGGATCTCCGCCAGTCCATCATCGAGATGCCGCATACCTTCCAGTACTCGTGCTTTCACCTCGAACACAACGGCGAGCGCATCAACGACTACGTCGAGCTGTCCGAAGTCAAGGACCTCAAGCCCGACTCAGTCTTGACTCTGGTCGAGGATCCCTACACGGAGAAGGAGGCCAGGCTCCATGTCGTCCGCGTGCGTGAGCTCATTGGCGCTGCTGGCGACCGCACCGATGCGCTGCACGGCCTCATGGCTGGTCTCTCACTTCACGACACAGTGGGTCACGAGCACATCTTGAAGCCTAAGCAAGATGGCCCCGAGCAGTCGCCATTGGCCGACTACGACTTCAAGACATCCGGTGCCGTCAAGAACCTGCTTCCCCCGGCTCCAGAAGCCGCGCCCAAGACGATCAAGTCGATTGCCGTCTCGCCCTGGAACCCACCCCCGTACCACCTTAGGTCCAAGGGTCACTTGCTGTACCTCGTAGTCACCACCAACGAGAACGAGCAGCACCACATTACCAGTCACGTTTTGGGTTTCTATGTCAACAAGTCGTCCAACGCCAGTTTTGATCCCTTCCCGCGACAAGCACCAAAGGATAAGCGCGCCCACTCGCTCCTTACCCTGCTTGAAGAGCTGTCTCCCTCTTTCCGCACTGCATTCCCCGAGCTGCTCGAGCACAATGCGAAGAAGGAGTTGCTCACCATCTTCCAGCTCTCCAACGCCATTCCCGCGAACCCATGGCTAGTCCCGGCGCCCAACTCGGCCCTCACCCCGCATCAGCCAGATCTCGCCCGCACACAGGAGAGCTACCTGATTTCCGGCGTTGAGAACACTGAGACGCTCCGTGATTGGAATGAGGAGTTCCAGTCCACCCGCGAGATGCCCAAGGAGGCCGTCCACGATCGAGTCTTCCGCGAGCGCCTTACGTCTAAGCTGTTTGCTGACTACAACGATGCTGCTACGCGCGGTGCCATGTTGGTAGCTCGTGGAGAGATTGCGCCCTTGAACCCAACAGAGGCCAAGGACGCACAAATCTTTGTCTACAACAACATCTTTTATTCGTTTGGCGCCGACGGTGTCGGCACATTCGGCGCGGAAGGTGGAGACGAGGCAGCTCGTGTCGCCGTGGGCAAGGATGTGTTTGGCGTGCGTGCAGTGAACAACCTTGACATTCCTAACCTTTTCACCTCTGGAACTGTCGTTGTTGACTACCAAGGAAAGCGCATTGTGGGCCAGAGTATAGTCCCTGGTATCTTCAAGCAGCGCGATCCTGGTGAGCACCAGATTGACTACGGTGCGGTTGAGGGCAAGGAAATCGTGGCCGACGACAAGTCCTTCGTTCCTCTTTTCGAGCAGCTATCCAAGGCTCTGCGTGTCAAGAGGCATCCGGTTTGGGACAAGGACAATGTTCGCCACGAACTGGAAGGCAGTGTCGAGACCAAGGGTTTGATTGGTACTGATGGTAGGCGATATGCCTTGGATCTCTACCGCCTCACCCCGCTCGATATTTCATGGATAGAAGCACACTGGACTGAGCCTGGAGAGGAGGGTGAGTCAAAGCCGAAAGACAAGGACTACCCCCACCGAATGGCCACTCTGCGCCCAGAGCTGGTCGAGTCTTATGGTCGAGTCAAACTCCGTGAATACGTCAAGAATGAGCTTGCCAAGAAAGCCGAGGCCAAGAAAGAGGCCAAGGATGAGGAGAGCTCGTCGGAAGAAGAGTCTTCGGAAGAAGAGGACTCTGAGGAATCGGATGATTCCGATGAATCCGAAGAAGAAGATGGTGCCGAAAAGAAGCCCAAGGAGAAGAAGTTGACCAAGGAACAGAAGAAGGCTGCAAAGAAGGCTGCTGCTGAGAAGAAGCCTGATGAGGACCCAGAACAGGAGCGCGTCGACATCTCTGGCTTCTCCTTTGCCCTCAACCCCGATGTTTTCTCTGGTCAAAACCCCCAATCGGAAGAGGACAAGAAGGAGTGGGCTCAGGATGAGGCTGAAGTCCGCGCTGCTTGTGAGCACCTCACATCCGAGGTCATTCCTCGCATGATCCAGGAACTCAAGGAAGGCGAAGTTGGTTTCCCAATGGATGGCCAGTCATTGAGCAACCTCTTGCACAAGCGGGGTGTAAACATCCGCTACCTTGGCAAGCTCGCAGAGTTGGCTGACAAGCCTGATCCAAGGCTCCAGGCTCTCAAGCGTCTGCTTATCCAGGAAATGATCGCACGTGGTTTCAAGCACTTTGCCAACTCCAAGTTGCGCAATGTGCCTGCGCCTTTTGCTGCCCCAGCGGCCGCACACCTGCTCAACTGCCTTCTAGGAGCCGAAGTGAGCGCCAAGCCTGTGCCTGAGAGCGATGCTAGCCTCAAGTCCATGTACAGCGAGGCTGACTTCAGCTTTGAGCAGCTCACACCAGAGGCGCTCAAGAAGGAAGTCGTGGCTCAGGTAGCTCTGCGATTCCGTTATGACCTGGGTGAGTCGTGGGTCGAGTCTGGCAAGGAGCTGCAGATGCTTCGTGAAGTCTCACTGAAGTTGGGACTCCAGTTGGAGAGCAAGCAGTACGCCTTCACCAAGGAAGCCTTTGCTGCTAGCGCCCCAGCCGAGAAGCCAGCTGCGCCCCCGACCAACGGCCAAGCAACGACTTCCAGCAAGAAGAAGAAGAACAAGAACACACCACCAGCACGTGCGGCTAGCCCAACAGTGGCTCTCCCGCAGCAGACATTCCACGCTGATGATATTCTGAACATTGTTCCCATCATCAAGGAGGCTTCGCCAAAGAGCCTGCTGGCTGAAGAGGCGCTCGAGGCTGGTCGTATGTCTGTTGCTCAGGACCAGAAGGAGCTCGGACAGGAGTTGCTTCTCGAGTCGCTGCAGCTACATGAGCAGATTTACGGTGTACTTCACCCCGAGGTAGCCAAGGCCTACCACACATTGTCAAACCTCCTCTTCAACCTAGAAGACAAGGTTTCGGCTCTTGAACTCGCACACAAAGCCGTCATTGTGTCTGAGCGCACTCTGGGTGTTGACCATGCCGACACTCTGCTCGCCTATCTCAACTTGGGTCTCTTTGAGCATGCCTCGGGTAACACCAAGGCTGCTCTTGTCTACCTGCGCCATGCACTTGAGCTGTGGAAGATCATCTATGGACCTGACCACCCTGACTCCATCACTACACTTAACAACGCCGCTGTCATGCTGCAGTCGATGAAGCAATACCACGAGTCTCGGATCTGGTTTGAGGCATCCCTCGCCATCTGCGAAGAAGTGTCTGGAAAGAACTCGATCAACACGGCTACTCTGCTCTTCCAGACTGCTCAGGCTCTTGCCCTCGACAAGGACATGCGTGGCGGTGTCAACCGCATGCGTGAGTCGTATAACATCTTCAAGGAGGTTCTCGGCCCTGATGACCGCAACACCAAGGAGGCTGAGAGCTGGCTCGAGCAGCTCACTCAGAGCGCTGTTTCCCAGGCTAAGCAGCTCAACGATATCGCCAAGGGACGTATCCGGGCGATGCCACTCCCTGGCCGCAACCCTCTCCGTCCCGCTGCTGCTGCACCTTCTGCAAGTGATGCTGCAGCTGCTTCAGCCAGCCAGCGCAGCGGAAACAGCCGTGTTGATCAGCGCAAGATTGAGGACCTTCTGAAGTACATTGAGGGAGATACACAAAAGACGCCATCGAAGAAGAAGACTCAGGCGAACCCTAGGAAGAGGACGAAGTAGAGCTGATCAGTCATTTCTCTTCTGGAATCCTTGCGACCAAAAGTTAGGCGCTAAAAGTACCCATCTGTCGCATTGTGGCACCGTATCCATGAACTGTGGCCACGGATTTGCGACATTCACGTGATGGTGCTCCAGTGGCTTTTGTGCCCTCTGGGCTCTATTCGTGTCCAGTTTTTGGGAACCGGTTTTGCATTCATGGAGTTATCGGTTTCGCGCGGCCATGTTGTGAAGTGGGACGACAGGTCTTTTCCGCGGAGGGGGTCTTGTACATTGGGATATAACTGGGTTGTAAAGGTAAGCAAAAGTCGGCTACGTGTACATATACGGGCCAGGCATGTAAACAGTGATGATGTATCAACGATGAATGATGAGCTGTATCAAATAGCAATGCAAAATATCTCCTCTTTACTGTTGATTCTTGTCATGATGTGTTATTAAAGGTGAATAAAGATGAATATCTCTAGTAGGGTTTTTTTCCTAATAGACTTGCCTAGTTGTTAAACTTGTATTTGTGAACTGCGCGTAGAAACTTCCTTCCCTACGCCCCCGGCTTCGGCATCCACACTAACCGCCCCCTCGGACTCCAATATCCCGAACCAAGTTCCCTACGACCCCTCCAATAGCTCCTGCATGCATCGCAAGAAAGTTCACAGACCTAATTACTACCCCACAAAAACATATCATCCCTCCCTCTTCCGCATCTTCAAATACAATACACATCCTCCCCTATTATCCGACAAACCCCGCTATTCACACACACTCTTTCTCTCCCTCGATTAAACAAAGGACACGACGAGATAGAGAGAAAACAATGTCAGCACCCCAGGGCCCCCGCCGCATCGCCCAATGGCTCTACCTCAAACCCGAGTCCATCGACGAATACAAAAAGTGTCATGCGGCTGTTTGGCCCGAAGTCTTGGAACAGATTAAGGATTCGAATATACGGGATTGTATGTATTCCTCTCTGTCTATCCGTCTTCATTTCCTTCCGTTGTTTATTTCCTTGTGCGTCGATGTTACGTCTACCTTGTGTGCTCGCATTGCCGATACTGCTCTCTTCATTCGCGTGGTTCGCTTCGCTTACTGCTCACTGCTCACTACGTTCGCGATAGATTCCATCTTCCTGACCATGTCACCGCGGCCCACACTCTTCGCGTCGTTCAAATACATTGGCCATGCATTTGACGAGGACATGGCGCGTATGGCGGCGAACCCCAAGGTACAGGAGTGGTGGCGCATGACGGATGGGATGCAAGAGTCGCCTGTGGAGGGGGCGCAGGGGAGCGCAAAGGGGCCCGGGTGGTGGGGACAGATGGAAGAGGTGTTTTATGTGGAGTGAGATGGAAGAGAGAGGAAGGGAGTGAAAATAGAACAAATAATTGGTATCAACAAAACTATGAATAACGATGCGACGCCGACACGACCGTGTGTCCCTATATGAAAACACGTGACAAATACAGTTATATGGAGACATGATGGCAACACCTCCCAGGATTGTTCTTCCCTACCTAATTTTCCTTCTCCGTTCCCCCCAAATGCTCTACAAAGGCTCGTAATCCGCGCTAGTGTCGCCAACCCAACCAAACCACAGGGCAATAAGAGTATTGGCCGCGACCCACACACCCGCATATCCAACAGCGCCAATGATGTCGGTTCCTACGAGCGTCATACTCCGTTGGACGGTGGCGATGAACAAAAAGGAGTTGAGAATGAGCGTTTGCTGAATCAGAGTGCGGGTCCTTTGAGTATAGTTGTAGAAGTTGTACTCAAGAGTCTGAGAGAGCGTGGCAGTAGCCGGGTCAAAAGTATCGCCAGGCGTCTGGTTCTCGGAAAGCGGCTGAGCAGCAAATGATGGGTTGAGAAGAAAAGCCTTGGCGGCGAACCCAGCAATAAACGTCTTAACCACAAGAGACAAGGGAGTCTCGATATGGGCGACTTCGAGCGTGGGAATGTCAAAGTATTGGACGAGGAAAGTGTTCAAGACGCCAGTCTTCAGGCCGCCCCACAGAAGCACAACGTAGACGCCGGTTGCGAGCATGAAGCTTGAGAGCTGGACTTGGTAGCTGTCGAGCAAGAAGCGGTTGCGCAGAGGCGCGTTGTTCTTGTGGGCGAGGGAGCGTGGGCGCAAAAGGTATGTGGGGAGCGCAAAAGAAATGACCTCGATGCAGATGTTGGTGGCCGCAGTCAAAGGCGTGATGTTGTAAAAAGTGGTGAGCAAATAGGCAAAAGGCGCGTGCATCAGGACAACGAGGGCCGAGACATCGTAGACTGCGCATACAGCATTAGCAGTGATTTCGCGCAAGTATTCTTCTCTTTGGACGCGCTCTTACAGTCGTAGCTCAAGTACCACGTCATGCACACGGTCAACCAGCGCATGGCGAGACGCGCATGAGGCGAGTAAAACGACGTGACATCGTCCTCTTGCGGCACCTTGCTGATGGCCCCGAGCTCCGGGCTCAGGAAATTCGAGGCAAACTCCCACAGCAACATGTTGATGCCCGAGTTCAGGCAGATAAGAATGGGCACGCGCAGCGCGGTAGGGAGACGCGATCGCACCGGCGCGTGCGACCTAGTCACTACTTCTGGCGCCTCGCGCTCAATGACTTTGGTTGGTGCCATTGTGCGCCTTTTTTGTTGTAGCGATGAAGTTTGGCGGCAATGGGCGAGGGAGAACAAAAGGACTGGGTGAAGTGGGGTGGGAGAGGAGAGGGAATGAGCGACGGGAGGCTGATGATAGAAGAAGTTCAAGTCTTTGTGATGGGGAGACGAGTTTGTTTGGACGTGCGTCATGGCGCAAAATAGAGAACATAATAAGCCGCCGGCAACCGTGCACTGGTTCGCCCCACGTCCTGCGCTATTGTATTGTCGCTTTGTATGTAGTATGTGTGTATGTATGGATGAATGAATATATGTACATATGAAGCAATATGTATTCTGCCCATTGCAACTTCATTGGTATGGCTGTTGTAATGGACTCGCGTACTCCCATAGCTTTGGACCCGGAGTATCGTATCCAGTCAACTTCTTATGGACATCGACCAGTATACCCGCATCTGTTGGCCTGTACAGATTGGTCCCCAGTACACCCCCTTTCAAATGCTTTGCCTTTGANCCTGCCGCTCTGTCTACTCGCAAGTTTATACACTGCGGGTACGCCTGTGCACCATCCAGCTGCTCTGCCACGTGCAGTGCAAGGAGCTCGTGCCTCAGGGTGTAGTAGCCTGCTGCCAGCACCTCTGGTATCTTGATTTCCCAGGTGAAGTTGTTGGCAATGAGTACGTCCGTCGCCCATGTGCCACCCAATTCCAAAGTGTCCCACCCAGTACTGTTGAGCCATGCCAGCTCGTCAATCTTGACCCAGGACAAGGTGTCCTTGTTTGCTTTTGAACAAGTCGTGTTGCACTTGGCAATGTATGTCATGACTGCGCCGACGTGGGAGACTGGCCATTCATTCCATTTCAACTGCAATGTGTCGCCGGCAGTTGTATTGACATGAAGTGCACCAGGTATGGCGTTATCATGACAGGTAATATTTGACGTATTGAAGTGTGAGGGGGCCACGAAGATGTTGCCCATGTTCGCGGCTGACCATGCAGCCAATGGACGAGGCGGTGTCAATGTTTCAGAAGAAACGGGATCCCATCCATTGTAAACTAGACCAGCTGATGTTGTAATTTTCTCGATGCGTGCGTGAGCCGATACGCCGACTAGGAGAAGTGACGAGGTCACGGTTGTCAAAAGCCGCATCGTGGCGGAACAAGTATGGGAAGAGAAGGGACAAATACCGAGTGCATAAGTACAAGCCGGAGCGCTGGGGAATATATATTGGTGCAAGTCTTTGTGGGGATCGTATAGCAATATCGTCATTATAGTTGCAATCGTTGCAGATTTAGCCATGCCACAATTCATCTCGGCTGCCAAGTATGATTGGCTACAGTGGGCGAGTGTCAGACAACGTGCCAGGGAACACGAAACAGGCCAAGGGCAGCAAACAGATTGTTCTGACCAGCGCAATGTTTCGAATGAGAGGAGAATAGGCTGGCACGGACGCTAACAGAGCGGGACACGGGGCGGATTGAGTGGTTTGAACGCCGATCATTTTCAGTCCAACGCCATGCTGATGCCGATGTCGACAGTGCTGTCGTAATATAATAGTACAGATAGTGGGTACATTCACAGTCGTCGGGTCCTTCTATTTGACCTCCTTTTCCAACAACTCTTTTGCTTCGTTGACCTTGGTAGCCAGGTAAGGGCTGCCGCCTCGATCGGGGTGGTTTAGGAGCATCAGTGAACGGTGCTTCTTCCGCAGGAGTTCTTTTGTGATACCTCGTTCGCTGTTGTTTGTTAGCATGCGAAAGCACACATCCAGACCGACTTACGGCAGCTCTAATATCAGCGCTGCTTCTCTCCGTGTCATCTTGGGTTCAAAGCCGCCCTTGTAGTATGAGCGCCCCAGAGCACCAGCGCCCCCACCTGATCTCCGTAGAGCAACGAGAGCTGCGCGGCCCTATTCATTTGGGTCAGTATTGCCTGTATGCGAGGCCTGCACATGATACGGGAGGACGTACGAAGAAGGCAGTGGCACCTGCGCCTAATATCCACACCCAGGCCGACATGCTGGTCCTGTGCGGGGAGAGATGAGAATACGCGGTAGTTGGTTGGTGCAGCGGGTGGGGCGGGTGCTACGGGATCCAGGCGCAGACAATGTACAGAGTGGTGTTTGAGAGTACAATGTAGGCGGAGACTGGACGACGAGGACGAGCGAGGACGCAGCAGAGACGGGGCGATCGAGTTGATGTCGATAATGTCGAGGGAAAAGGCGGGCGAGGAATCTGCGGAGGTGCCTCGGGCGACGAGCGATGCAATTGGCCCCGGGGTGCACGCGCCACCCAAAATTTCTGGCCAGGCCGGCATACTGCCCTTTGCTGCACCACTACCACTACCTCCACCTCCTCCAATCACTCCCCCGCTGTCACCATGAGAATTGAGACGTGTATGTATACATTCTACATTGGCGCTTATCAACAACGATACTAACATGTCCAGGCTACTTCTGCTCAAGCCCCGTCTACCCGTCCAAGGGCATCACCTTTGGTATGCATACCCTCTGCAATTGCGCCACCACGACCCTCTTCTAACCGCGCACAGTGCGAAATGACGCCAAGAGCTTCCGCTTCTGCAAGAGCAAATGCCACAAGAACTTCAAGATGAAGCGCAACGTAAGCACGCCTCATGCCATGCGCTTATCCCACACATGCTGACTTGGCTTTTTTTTTACAGCCGCGCAAGCTGGCCTGGACAAAGAGCTTCCGTCGCGCGCACGGCAAGGAAATGACTGTCGATTCTACCCTCACTTTTGCTCAGCGCCGTAACGTGCCTGTGCGCTACAACCGCGACCTTGTCCAGACGACACTCAAGGCTATGGGCCGTGTATCCGAAATTCGTGCTAGAAGAGAGCGCGCCTTCTACAAGGCCCGTATGCGTGGTAACAAGCAGCGCCAGCGCGAGGAAGACCGAAAGCTGGTCCTGGAAAACCAGCACCTGCTGCCACCCAGCGAGCGATTCTCCAAGGAGGAGCTCGAGCAAATGCAAGGCGAGCCTGATGTCCAGACAATCAAGGACAAGGTTGCTGCCAGGAGGAAGGAGCTTGAGGCGGAAGAGAGCGAGCTTAGCGATGTCGAGGAAGAGATGTTGCCCAAGACTAAGAGCAAGAGGAAGATGAAGATGAAGGTCGGCGGTCGCGGTGTTGAGGCCATGGATGTTGACGAGTAGAGCGACTCTCGGGACCCGGTACCTCATCGACATCAACCGACAGCGACAGCCTAATGACTGGCTTGGCCTTGCAAGTAAAAAAACCGTTTCTGGAGTCTGGCGTCACATTACAAGGGTAGTTTTCATGACCAACATAGCTCGATACCATATCAAGAAGCTTGTCTCATTTCTCGCATCAATTTGCTCAACTTTGCTACTGCGTTTGATCCGACAACTTAGCAGGCGTCCTTGATTCTGCGTCACTCACGAGCATGTGTAGCAAGGTACGCAGTACTGCTGGCAGTACTCTCATTGTTGACTTCTAAGATATTTCTTGTTTTTCGGACAACCGAGTCCATGGACAAAATTGGACTATTGCGACTAATTGATAGCCTGGGAACCATAATAGTAACGAAGCCTTGTAGGCCATGGCATATGATGCACTCAATCACAATGACTCTCCTGTTGACTACATCTGGAAGGGAAGCGCTACATTGACACTTTGGTTTCTATGTACAAAAACATTCATGGGACAGCTTTCAAGTATATACAGATATCTCTGACCGAAACCTAGAAGTTCTCCTTGCATTGGTCGGGCCAGCCTGATGGATGTCTTCCTGAAGTAGTGCCGCAATAGTAGAAGGTACCGCTGGGTGAAACGGCATAGTAAACACTGCCAGCATTGTTGGGCAAACCAGTCTGCAGATTTCTACGTTAGCATGGCGAGTTGCATCAGATGCTAGCCATTGCGCTTCAAAGTGAAACTTACAACCCAGAGAGGGTAGGTTTTGAGCCCACTGCAATACTTCGTAGCAAGGTTGGCTGCACTGGTCTCACGCGGTGGTTGAGACCTGTCGCCTGCCTTAACCGCATCGATAAGATCTTTCTGATCGATGTGAACACCGCCCCTTACTGGGCAGTCAAGGCTTTTGGGGAACTGGCAGGCCGGATCGCACGACTTTTGCTCGGGCGAAGAGTTGGGGACTGGGGCCGAAGAGACGGGGGTGGCGTCCATAGCGACAGCGGCCGCAGAGACGGCGGTGGCACCGAGGGCGAGAGCGATGAAGGAGCTGGCGTGCATGTTGAGGATTGGTGTTGGTTCGGGTTGGTTCGGGGGGTGTTTGAATCTGGTAGTTCTCGGGGTGGAGAGTGAATTCTGGAGAGGGATTCTCCATTTCTTATATGGTGAGTGAGCTGCTATCCATCATCAAAGACCCGACGAGCCACCCCGACGAGCCGCCGAGACGAGGGCATTAGACACACTCTGCTGGGCATACTACATACGTACTTGCTAGGTGCTATTCGCAAACCCGAGTCGTGCTGCCGCTGAGATGTTCTGAACAGGCCCTACGAAACAACGCACGGTTCCTCCATCTTGCATGATGGGGAAGCGCTAGCCACAACGGTTCCCGATTTCAGTTAGTTGTTTCTACTGATTTGTCCTGATCCTTCACCCCTGTAATTGTCCTTAATATCAAACGGCCCGAGAAACATGTCTACGCTAGCGCCAGCCACGGCATGATGTGTTACTCCGTACCGTACTGACATTCGATCATTCGTGTAAGTATTACAGCCAAGTCTCTTGTGCTTCACACCTACCTTCCCCTTCAAATCCTTTCTCTCTCTTTGCACCAAAAAATGAAAAAGTCGCATTGAATAGCTTCTTATTGCCCCTACCCTTTCTCCCTGTCTCTTTCATGCTCAACCCCAGCTTCCTATACATAGCACTTTACCATACACACCCTCTCACCTCCCCGGCGCAAACAAACAACCCAAACCGTACGTGTGCCACCCCTCGCTTGACACAGCTTTCCCGTATTCCCACTCCCAATTATGCCTATAAGGTGACTGCAGCACACCATGTACTCACTAAAAAAAAACCGACGTTCTGAAATTTGAAGAATTAAACGCCTTTCGGTCCTATTACCAATTCGCACCGTCTGGGGGAGCCAGGGGGGAGAGGGAGGCGAAGTCGCAGGCTAAAAGACAGTTAAACGTGTAAGCTTATTCGGTACGGTTGGAAATACGCGTTATACCAGTAAGCAGGGCAAGTATTGAGATCAATGGATAAGCGAAAGGCGCAGGCGTAGAAGATGACGGCACGGTCCTTTGTGCATTGGGAAATGTACGCGGGTATGTTTTTCTTCTTTTTTTACCCCGCTTTGTTGCGGCCTCGTACGATTGTAGGATGTCGCGGACGTTGTGAGGGTGGACGGCGAGAGAAAAAAATGGTCTAGTACTACAAACATGGGGGGTGAAAGTGTGTACGCTAGCGATCCACCCCCCTTCTGTTGCTAATTATATGCGGTGACGTTGTTTATGGATGTTTGCGGAGATTGGAGAGACTAGGATAGGGAGTCCAAGAGGATAGGCAGATGATAGAAAGTCCGAGGAATCGTGTACTGATTGAGTTACTATGTTACGGCTCTGCTGCATTGTCGATAGAGAGTACTGCGCAGCTTGATCAATGCAACATGCAGAACCCCCCGATATGATAAAGCGTGTTGATGCACGCTGCTTGTCAGCCTGCCATGGCATTGTTTCGCAAAGCTTGGAGCATAGAGACGCGGTGTGACTATGCGAGCTGCGGTAATGAGGTTTGAGAGGCTTCATTCCACTCGATAGGTCAATTACTGTGTAATAATAGAAGATACTGTGATTTTTTTCTGGCGATACAGAATTATTAGTGGAGATTTCGGGTAAAATTCATGCGGGTATTCGGGGTAGAGATTGGATCGTGTGGGGGTGAGTGAGATGAGTGAGTACGGGTGTCGGATGCGCTGGCTACCCGTAATAGTGAGATTGTTATTTAAACTCTCGGATGTGATTGGAGATTAAGGAATGGGAGAATGAGTCGGACGCTCTCGTTTACACACTCTTGATAGGTTGGGGACATTTTTTCGCCCATGGTCAGGGCCTGTTCGATTGCTCCGTTTTCTGTCTTCGTTTGGCTGCCATTCGGGGTCATAGAAGACAGAAAGGGCTAGTCACGTGGTTAATCGGAAACCTTAATTCTTATTAGAGATCCTAAGATCTACGTCACAGGGAAATGGGGCTCTGCTTAACTCGAAGAGGGACACTCGTACATTAAAACTGCGCTAGATGTGTAGGGCTTTTTCCATATACCAGTGTTGCATTCACAAAACCGAGCTCCAGCTACTGGCATCCAGACCGTTTCACCGAACACGACGCCATTTCCATCTCCGTTTTCTGACGAAATCCCCGTCTGATATGTCAGAAAGAAACGAGGTGGAACTGAACAGGCACCAACCTGACTCTATAATTATGTACTGTTAGTTCTATCGCCTTAATGGGCGGTAGTACAAGATCGTATCGCGAAACTTGCAGGTCGAGAACGTGATGTCAACGTCGTCGTCAGAGAAACTCGGGAATTGGTTGCGGTAAGCGTTTTCAGGGCAGAATGAGAAAAAGATGCGATTAGAGGGTACTCTAGTGCACATATCACGCTGGCAGCCACAGAATAAGCATCGGCGCGCGGAATTGCCGTGACTGCTTCCGTCGCCACCCACACGGGCATCCAACTCGGCAATTCCTAGAGCTTATGTACTAGGGCATCTACAGTAAGCACGGTATCTATCATAAGCGGAATGGCACTTCGAAGCATTCCATACCCCATGCGCCATCTCAGCCACAATCTTACAAAAACGCACCACTCGAACTTTGCCCCTTGTATCTTGCTATTACAGCCATGAAAGTGCGCATTACAGCGCATTCGCTTTGCGTATAATCTAGCTCTGAGGCCCAATAGCATCCCTCTGAGCGTTTGTAGCTCGAGGCACTGTGAAAACTGCGCTGACGGATGGGGAAAACGTGACACTCGTGGACACTGGTGGAGGTGGAGATGAATGAAGATTAACGGGATGACATATGCTAGTAATGCATTCGTTCTCCAAAGAAACTTACCGCTTACTAGAGATATTTAACTTCAGTCGACTAAGATGGGAAATGAGAATTTTTGTAATAGCTCGATACGACTGGATCGTACCTTAAAGCATGAGTAGGTTTAGTCCTCTCAATATATATTCTCTAATATAATATTCCAGGTAGTATGTTAAAAATATAAGTATACCTAGAAAGCTATTCAACAATAAAAGCTCTCAGGGCCCCTGAGTAAGTAGTCTCAGTTGTTTGCTACTGTTCTCCCAAACAACAGGATCGTCCACAGTCGTCCACTTCAATAGGAGCTCCTGAACAGCTTGGAGAGACTTATCTTCCTCAGCATCCATGAAGAAATCCTTGCGGCCCTCAATCCCTTTCTTGCGCCTCTCCAAATACGCATCAAGGTCGTAATTGCTGTCAACGGAGGCTGTGCCCCATGTTGCGGCGAGGGAAGCCTGATAAGTGTCGCTTGACATGTCCCGAAATTTCTGCATTGATGCGTTTGCGGTCTCTGGCACTTGGGCGGGTGTTGGTTGATCGTGACCCTGTCCGGGCCTTATGAGTTGCACTGCTGTGGATGGGGCTTCCGGTTCCTGAGTGGGCACCAAGGGGTCGGGAACAATGTTCGGCTGGGTGCCAGCTTCAGCGTGGAACTGTAAGTCGTGTTTGTTAAGCCAATCCCTGACCAAATCTTTTGTGAGTTCGCGATGCCGATCCTCATCTAACTGTTCAATAGAAGGAATCCAAAGATCGCGATTTGCTGGATCTATGAGTGTTGGTCGATTTTCTGAAACCGGCACATCTTCTGGTAGCACCGTCGGTGGAAAGAAGGATGTTCCACTACCAGGCTCTGGCTTTTGCCCTTTACCCAATGCATGTCCGGTTTTTCCCCACTCCGGGACCAGGATCGGATCGCCATCCATAATGTGATCTTGATTAGATGGCTGATTGCTTGGGCTTTCGAATCCATCGAACGGGGACAAAGCTCGACTGTAATCCAATGTGAAGTCGTCACAATCGAATTTTTGATCATCTTCATTTAGCCCCATGATTGAGTCCAGTTGATCCAAGTCCCAGGTCCCGGACTGTGGGCAATCTCGAGCAAGTTCAGGCTCGGATTCGGCGTTCTGCGCAATAATATCTTCTGGGTGGTTTTCTTCGTCGAGAGCTCTAGGAGTATGGCTGTCCCACTGAACTTTCCGCTTTCCAGAGACATTGGTAGGATGTGCATCGCCAAGGGACTGAGATCTTCTCTTCTTGCCTCGCAGGGGTTCCTACTCGCTTTAATTTTGCCTTGGATTCAATGGCGTGTAACTTTCACTTACATCTATGTCTTGGGGTTGTTGATCGGTAGAGGGCAGGGGGTGATTTTCTTCACGGCCCATAGTTACATATTGTTCGGAAGCTTGACTTCTTGGAGCTTCTACGATCTTCTGTCTCGGTACACCAGAGTTTTCGAGAAGATCCTGGGTGTGTTCGTAAAGAACATCGACAAACATATCCGGTAGCCACCTTAGAATAACGACCTCTTTTGAGTGGTCCTGCAACGAATCAAACACAGAAGCTAGTATACAGTCGCAATTAAACTTACTGTGCTTGTAAGATCAGCAAGACCCATAGATCGGAGATGCGCAAGTTGTTCGGAGTCGCAGGACACCACTGGATAGATGGGGATTCGTTCAGGTACTGGACCAGCTCCGTTAGCCTTGAGAGTAGATATTGCCGCATCGATAAGTTCTTCTCTCATTCCAAATTTTGTTAACCCATTCTTTATTCTATCCATCAGAAAGTCATGCCTCATTTCCGAATCAATTGATCCTCTCGCCTTGCCCAGAGCAATGTTTTCTTCAAGTCGAGAATACTCCCATTTGGCCAACTCCAGTTTCTGGGTAGCCAACTCCAACCGATCAATTTGAGACCAGTACGGACGGACACTATTTGAAACGATGAATTGAGATGAAGGCGCGAGTTTTGTAGCTTCTGCGGTCCTCGGGGCTTGACCGTGACTTGTGGCGGTAGGTGCAGGTTCATTATTAGCTGCTGATAAAGAAAGTGTGGGTACTTTAGACTGTCTCGAGCATGCCGATACTCCGCTGCTAGATAGTGCTGTCTCGTTCACCATCTCTCCACTACTCTCTGCTTGATGGTGAAACTCTTGCTTGGCCGCTTCGTTGGCAAGTACCAGACTCTTGAGGGCCAACAACTCGTCGACGTCTACAGTATCCTTTCTGTTTTCGTAAGCATAGCGTTCCAAAACCAAAGCATCTAGACCTACGATAGATGCGACGTCACTTTGATCGCATAATTCAAAACCGCAAGCTCGACCAGTATGGTTGATTTAAGCGATTCCAAAAGTCGGCGAAAGAATTCAACCTTTCCTTTCCTAAAGATCCACATGATCTTGTGACCAGTAGGCAGGCGAAATCTACCGGCGAGCGGATTGTCAGACTTGGTCGCTTTTTTCAGGATATCCTCAATCTCAGCAAACACACGCTTGCACTCGTCGACGATCTTGATGCTCGTATCAAAGGCATCCTGTCTGAATAGTTGAGCTTTTTGGCCAAATTCCATCGCCTTGGCAAGATCCTTGAGAACCTGACAGAAGAGAGCAACGTCTTTCGCGATGTAACTCGTCTCCTGCGTGTGTGTCAGCTTGAACTATCGAAGTCTTGAGTGAAGCTCCCACCTGGTTGGCCGAAGCGATAGCATCTGCAACTTGAAATAACCCGATTGAAAGCTGTGTTCCGATTTGGGCAATCTGCAATATACTGGCGACAGCGCCAATCTTCGAAATGTTAGAGAAATGGGCGGGGTGGTCGAACGTCCAGACATACTGCCTCCATCGTCGCAAGAGCTAGCCGAAAGACCCTATGTACAAGGTCTACTGGGGAGAAGCTTTCATTGCGCCGTCATGTTAATCCTCGCACCCTTTGTTGCGGTAGTCATTAGAGATATGAATGGAAGAAATGGGGGCCAAGTAGTCAAGGCATACGTACGTACGGGCTGAAACGTGGTTGACCGGTTTTGGTTGTCTGCTCAGCCACCAGCCCCGCTCAGCCACAAACATCTCCACCGTGGAGTATGCGGGTCGCATAAACGACGCTGACAAGAAAGCTTCAGCCTATCAGAATGACAGCAATTGTATTTCTCACTTGACGTTGTTCAAATGTGAAGGTATAGTCTAACGCAGCAGCGCCTGCTTTTCGACTCTCAATGGCCATCGCTACTCCGTCAACTCGGTCACCTTCTCGCCAGACTCTGCACGAGAAGGCGTCCGGGCCCAAGAATAACACAGTCTATCAAGGCCTAAGCACAAGTTTGGATCGTATTTACTATCGAAGTATCGGCCGTTATGTGTTACAGTATTGTAGAATACGATTGGTATGTGTACTAGCTATGGGAAGCTAAGCACACATTGTTCCCATATGTTCAAAGTTACTTGGTTAGACTGGCGCTTTAATTATAGGCTTCTCTGTTGAAGCATCATTCATACCCATGATTTGGTGCTTATTATGTATACCAGCATCGGGTAAATGACACTACCTGTGTCTGACTTTGTCCAAGGAACTAAGGGACTGAAGTCACACCTCTCTTCAAATGAAGGATATCGACGTTCAATTACAGTGACGAGCAACACCTTATTATACTTTGCATCATGGTATTTCTTTCTATAAGACATATTGATCTTGACTTAGCGAAAACTCTATACTACTTATCCCTCTTATCAACCATGTGGATCCCATAAGAAATGTGATATCTTTCGTTGGGAACAATATGTTTCTTGAAATTACTGCTAATTACTCGCGGAAAAAAACCCATTATCCACGACTAACTTCATTGTAGCTGACAATCAGATCGAGACACATGCTTACCTTCAACACTCCACTCTTTTTGACTTCTGCAAAGACAAGGGAATTCTTTTAAAATCCTACTCTCTCAAAGATAGCACTTAAATAGTCGAGCCGCGTGCCATAGAAGACAGGGTTATAGACTTGTTACGTTACAAAGGGGGTAAGTGGCATGATCAACTTTTTTCTAGTGGAGTTATGCAGCGTGACACTGTGGTGCTACCTCAGCATGATACGCCAAGTCGCATGGAAAACATGTAGGTAAAACCATTGCCAAATATGGTATTCAATAAATTAAGTTTACTAAGGGGATGTAAACGATTCAACTTACAATTACGGTGTACGTTCGGCGTTGCCGAGGAGATCAGCAATGAATGGGTACACATGATCGTTCAAGAGTGCTTAAGGAAGAGAGTAACCGAATTCGTCGTCTGGGCAAGGAACCAGGGAACGAAGCTTAGCTATGAGTTCATGTATTCGTACGTATTGTGCCTTGGCATCTCGTGTCAAGCACATCTTTCTTTGTATTCACGAACTTGGCCCACTATTTCCAACGTAACTGCATAGTGGAGAAATGGCGGATATACTCTGTCGATGCAGTTTCCGTGCGCGGCAATCGTGGTGGTGATTATTTGGGAGAAGATTGATTGGTGCACCTAAAAAAAGATATTAAGTTGGAGACTATTCCATTCACGTCTGCCGACAGAATCCTGCGCCTGGGCAAAAGTAGAGCTATTGAGCCTCACAGGATTTTTGCAGGGGGACACTTGCCTGATCTTGAAACAAGTATTTGATGCGCATGTATTTGGTTCTGTAAATCCCATGTTTTTGTTTTCAACTAGGAGCAATGCAATGCGAAAAAAAGGCCTAAGCAGACTAGCTAGCATAATTTCTAAAGTTTTACGCACAAGTAGCTGTCCTTTTGTCATAATCCTAGTGGCTACTTGATCATCATTGAAATACAGCAGTTGATTGGCTGGGACAGCTGCTTTTCTATCAAAAATCGCGGGAGCCCACTGCTATGTGCTTGGCAAAATATGATTTACAACACGAGTAATGATGAGCAGCGATAGTCTTCACACTAGTCGTTCGCTACTTCAATGGAATGTTCCACGTGGCAAAGGTGTGGCAGTGCACTACTTTAGGATAGGCACTTCTGCAGGATGTAGTACTTAATTTGACACCAAGTGGCATGTCAACTACTAGATTGTTCCGCGTGACAGTTAAAGGAAGCTTGCATATGCAAAGCTTATTGGACCATGTCACTGCATCATAGCGCTCATTGTGCAGTACTGTGGAGAAGCGCAGAAAGCTGTTCAGCACCTATTGGATACCAATTGAGGTCAAAATAGTCTTAATGTGGATAAACGCCGTGTCTGCGATCGTATCTTGCATGGCCAATAACATCAAGGTGGCGAACGTTCTCTGTGCCAACTAGAATGCGATTCTGGCTCTAGCATAGCTACTCTTTTTTTTTAGGTCTGCGATCTACAAGGTGGCAGTCTAAAGAACTATAGATCGATTCTATAGAAGGCTTGATTCTCCTTGATTTGGGGATTTATGGGTCTAAACTGCGCTAACTGGCTGGGCAAAATACGATTATATATATGGTGTACTAAGTAGGTAGAGCGACGCATCAATCTATACCCTGTTCGTCGTGTTGTGGATGAAAAGGTACCCCTGTGGGAATAGACCCATGTAGAGTCAGTTCCTCAAATAGCTCAAGTGGTTGAGGCTGGGGGAAAGGAAGCAACCGGTCGAAGCCGATGTTACTCTGAGATTCCACTTACAGGGGCGACCTTCACTGTCCAGCGTAGCAATTCCCCGCCCTGGCACACTATTCACCATCCACCAAGTGACTACAGTCTTCTTTGCGCTACGAAGATGATCATGAAGAAGAAAATTGTCTCAATTTCACCAAAAGGTCTAAGTTCCAGGCTCCAAAAGATTTGGTGAGATACATGCACGCGACTCTCAGGCTGCTGGCAGCCGGGAGTACAGTGCCGGTGATACCTAGTTCCGCCGAAAGAAGGCGGGCTGGAGCCAATACTCGCTACGTGCTTGAGTGGGTAATTTTAGGGCTGATCAACTTAGCTTGGATAGAAAGCTAATCATGTCTAGACCGGTCTCATCCTAGCGTTTTCCCCTGCACCCAAAATAAGATTGCAGCAATCAAAGGCCGTTCTCTGAACGATGCAGCCCCCGGGCCGTTCCTCAAGCCACTCATCGAATCTCAATTCATCGCACTACCATGACTGCATTGTTCGTATCCAGAATACGATGTCACTACGCCCACTGTTAACACGATAGGTGACACCAAGCTTGATTCAGTTCTGACACGGATGTAATCTATTTGGCCGTTTGCTCCTGAACGTCATCCTAGTCGGCAAATGTACATATATATCTAATTAATGAACTACGTCGTCTCCGAGTATCTTTCCCCAGTCTTTCGTTTCCATCACTCTACAGCACAAACCTGAGGACATCATGAAGAGCAACCTCGCAATCGGTCTCGCGCTGATTGCGCCCAGTTATCAGGCGTACGTCTGGCCCAGCCAATACGACCGCACCGAGGACCTGTTATATTTACAAAGCGGCTACATTAAAATCGGCCAAATATCTGATCGTGCGCACTGCCTTTTCCATGACAATGGTCTGACAGAAAACTTACATCAAGACAGAAGTTCAGACGTGCGATTTTGGCGCGGGTGCACCTGGTATACAAAAGGCAGCGGAGTGGGTACGAACCGCCTTCCACGATTCTGTGACACACGATGCCTCTAAGAAAACTGGAGGACTGGACGCCTCGATCCAATTTGAGCTTGAACGACCAGAGAACCTTGGCCAGGCACTCAACAACACATTATCGGACATGGCTGGCGGCTACGATATCCGCACCCCGATGTCAGACCTTCTCGCAATGGCTCTAGTTATGTCAGTGGATCGTTGTGCGGGCATGCACGTACCACTAAGGCTGGGCCGGAAAGATGCGACAGAAGCCGGTATCAAAGGAGTGCCTGAGGCCCATACAAGCCTCGAGACCACCCGCCAGCGATTCGCAACTGCTAGTCTCAGTGAAGGTAAATCCGCCGTCGTATGCCATCTCGTAGATTGACTGAAAGCTGACTTTCCCTAGTCGATATGATCACTTTGATTGCTTGTGGGCACAGCATTGGTGGCGTCCACTCCGTCGACCACCCTGAAATTGTCTCTGGTCCTGTTAGCGAAGAGAACAAAGCCAGTTTTGACACCACCAAAGATGTTTTGGACAACCAAGTGGTTGTGGAATACCTTAACAACTCCACCACAAATCCACTAGTCCGCAACGCCAACGATACATTGAACTCGGATAAGCGTGTCTTCGCTTCGGATGATAACAAAACCATGAGAAAGCTGGCAGATCCAGCTTATTTCAAGTCGCAGTGCGAGGATGTCTTTACACGCATGCTAAATCTCGTCCCGGGAGACGTCACGCTCACCGAGCCCCTGCAGCCAGCAGACGTTAGGCCATACCCTGTGAAATACGAAGTCAATGACGACGGAGGTGTAGACTTCAGCCTCCGCCTCCGTATCCGTATCTCAGAAGGTAGCGGTTTTGATCCCGCATCTCTCAACGCATCTATCATTCCCATCAAGCACGATGGCACTCTAGGGGAGGAGATCAATGGTGTGATGGCCACAATGATGGGGGGAACATCGAGCGGCTACCAGAGGGAGCTATTTCAATGGTTCGAAGTCTTCCAATCGCTCAACGCCAGCGACGTTTTTGACTCGTTTAAAATCCGCGTCAACGGCAAAATCTACGACAACGGCGGAACAGGTAGCTACCCTGTCAACGGCGATGTGCTTTGGCAATCAGCACAGACGTGCGCCAATTTCCATCCCGACCAGAGCATCGACATGACCTTTGTTGCTGCTATTTCAAAGGCTCTGTTGGCTAAGGGAGCTACCCCACAAATTCGCGTGGTCGAGAGGACGCGAGTCCCAGGAAATGTTGTTCCTAAGTTGACCCCAGTCGTGCTCCCGATGCAGCGTACCTCTCAAGAGAAAGCTGGATACGTATATTACACTGTTGAAAGGAAATTCGACAATCAAACCGAAACTTCTACCTTTGATTTGATAGTGGGCGATTCCAAGCTTGAGTACCTTCAAACAGGTAATCTGAATACGTGTCAGACTTCAGCATAGAACCTGTTGCATTTAGACTTTCTTCGATATCAAATAACATAGACTAGTTAACGTTTATTTAATAAATTCAAAAAAAGATAGCTTGGTTTAGCCAAGTTCCTTAGTTATTTTATTTCACACAAGTATTCAACTGGAATATCTTCTATCTGCGTGATAAATCTAGCGTTTTTCATAATCATTTTTCTAGGCTTCATCATCCCCGATCGATCTCGATGCTTAGAGATTGTTATCAACTCATTCCTGTTTTTTTTCCATCAATTTTTGAGATTCGCAGTAAGGTACATTCAGTATTTCGTGCTGGGAGAAGTCATCTTGGAATTCTGTCCCTGATTAAACTAACTGCAGCTTTTTTCCCCCGAGAATATTCCTATATCTAGCCCCCTTGCGATATAGTAGCCCGTACAAGTCACTGCATTCAATCAAGCCAAAAAAAAGATCGCCACTCGCCAGGTATCAGTGGCGTACAGTTTTCTCGACGAAATTCTTGCAAGTCAATTCAAGAAAGACCTCAGCCGTACTTCTCAAAAAAATAGGTCTAACAGTCGTTTGGAAACCCGTCGAGGACCTGTAACGCTTCCGTTTGTCCATGTGATTGCGCTATCCCCATATTACGTCTCGATTCATGTGGAGCAGTGGGTCTGCGCGCACCCAGAACAATATCTCCACTCTTCTTATCTGGCTATGCTGGTTTGCGGAGGCGGCGCCATGATTACCGCCTAACTGCGTAGTGTAAAATCACAACTTGTTGACTTTGTTGCCACTCCGTCTGAGGGGGGGCCTTTTTTCGCTAGGCATGTCAATACTGTGGGTGAATCGATAATGTGCCCGCGTGCCTGTCAAGTCAAATCTGTTGGGCGCCTATGTCGGATTCGCAAAATCGAGAATTGGCATCTGTCGAGCTAGGAACCCACATTCTTTCGTTGACACTGGCATACTGAAAGTTACTCATCGGTCGGTTGCTTACTCTACATATATCTTCCTGTTGAATGAATTGATCTCCACTTGCCTACTTCGTTATCTATGCAGTTGAGGCCACCTGATCTTCAATCGTATGAGGTGTGGACCTTCGGCTACCATGTGCATGTACTGCCGGTCCTAGACACCTGGTTGTCGAAGTATGCCAAGTCCGTCACGAAAGCCAAGACATCGTAGTGTACTGTTGATACCCGTGAGCGGGATGTCAAAAATGGATAGAGGCGATTTGTTGCCAAGATTTACGTAGTGTAGCGAACGGGTAGTGTTTTCTTCCCGCGGGTAAACAGCGGATTGGTGAGCGGATTCGCTCTTCGTTCTCAGGTTCCCGTGCCAAAGCCATTTTGGGTTAGGTTTAAACCAGGAGGTATACCTGGATTGGGACAAAAATCGGAAGCCGTTCGGTCGGATCTCCGCTGTATGGTCACATGCTCCCCACGTGGGTGGAAAATTTCCAGGAAACAGGCACATTGTCTGTAGCCAAGTGATGGGGCGGCTCCTCCAGAATAGAGCTGAGCAGACTATGTACATTCCGAGCTCTAGTTCGCTCAAAGAGGAGAAAAAAATGGGTCGAAGCACCGCCAAGCAAGAGGAATGAATATTGGCGTTGCGGTGGCAAAACCGAGTTCTTGGAAGAAAGTATGCACGACCAGAAGCTCCGTTTTACCGAACAGGGCGCCGTTTGCAGGTCCGATGTAAATGCGGAAAACGGGGCTGAACCCACCCAGCAGACCCTGTGTGCTTTCTGGGATCCCGCGGGAACAGGACTTTGCGCCTCCGGCAATGCGTACCCGCTTTGTGCCTACGGATACCCTCTGAAACCTCTGTGTTACAATGATGAACACGCGTTCGAGTTACCGTAGTATATACCATCTCGATAGCCAAGTAGAAGTAATGGAAAAGTTTACACGGTCTACACAATCTACACAGTTTACACAGTTTGCGCTTACCGCACCATTTCCACCATGAGCGCAGCCATTGCTACCCATCCGGTTGACCGGAAACAAACCTCCACAAGCCTCAACACTCCATCTCAAGTAGCAGCGCCCAAGAAAACTACCCCGACTGCCATCGTATCGTTATTCTCGGGCGCTGTCGCTGGAGGTGTTGAAGCCACAGCAACCTACCCGTTCGAATTCGCCAAGACACGCGCACAACTGCAAGTAGGCGCTGGCGGCTCAAAAAATCCCTTTACCGTCCTCTCTCAAGTCGCCAAGACGGATGGCGTAAGGGCCATCTACACCGGCTGCTCTACGTTGATTGTAGGCACGGCTTTCAAGGCTGGTGTCCGCTTCCTCTCCTTCGACTCCATCCGCAACCGCCTCGCTGATGAACGCGGTGTCCTCTCACCAGCTCGCGGCATGCTGGCTGGTATGCTGGCTGGCGCCGTCGAGAGTGTGGTTGCAGTAACGCCGACCGAGCGCATAAAGACTGCCCTGATCGACAACGCGAAGAGCGGCGGGCAACGCTACAATGGAGGCTTCCACGCTTCGAGAGTCATTCTACAAACCGACGGTATTGCTGGACTATATCGAGGTTTGGTGTCTACAACTGCGAAACAGTCAGCTACTTCTGCGGTTCGCATGGGATCGTACAATGTCCTGAAGGAGTTCGCGAGGCGGAAAAACCTCAAGCAGAACAGCGCACTTACTTTTGGCATGGGTGCCGTCGCCGGTGTCATCACCGTCTACGCAACACAACCTTTCGACACTATCAAGACACAAGCGCAGAGCGCGCGAGGTGCGAGCACAAAGGATGCTTTCCGGTCGGTACTGTTGAAGGGAGGAGTGCGAGGATTCTGGAGCGGTAGCACGATGCGGTTAGGCAGGCTGGTTTTGAGCGGTGGCATTGTTTTCACAGTTTATGAGAAGGTCGCATATCTGCTGACACCTTCCAACCAATAATTTCCAACCAATACCATTTTTTAAGTTTCGTTAATATATCCTCTTGTTCTGTTTTAAGGCATCAAAAGTACTTGAAGGCTGGAGTTCAAAGGCCCTGTGAATAGCGTCATCTGACCCAGTAATTTCCTCAAGGAGTATAGTAAAGGTACCGTTGTTCATCTCGTAGAACACCAGAATATCTTTCTCTTTTTTGTAGATTTACATTAGCGCTATCAGCAGAGGTCCACTTCTCTAAAATCCACTCTCCCAAATCTCTGGTATTAATATCTATGTACATCTTCTTTTAATGCATCTCTTTTCTTCTGATAGGCTTCCAGAAGTATTTACTACGATATAAAGCTACAGAATTCGGTGACTATCACTCCCTGAAGAAGAAAAAAGCTAAAATAGTTGAAAGAAGGGTAAATCCAGTGCTAAGCACACTTTACACCGATAGCGTGAGCGCTAGACAGGACCGCCGGGTCAACTGACTCCAGCCGTCCTTTGCCTTCATTTTGTCATCAGTATGCCATAGTGAATTCCTTGCACGAGCTGCACTTGTCCATTTCCTTGTGATAGAAGGATGCTTGGTGTTCCCTCTGCCTACACCGGATTGATCCCGCGGCAACTCGATCCCGTGGCGGGAAGAGGAGAGTGCTGTCCATTACCCGCGGGACGGCAGTGTGGCGGCTTCCCGAGGGAAAAGACCGGTCTTGGCCTCGTTACAAGGGGCGGCGCCTGAGGCCTCATCCCAGCTAGTCTGGCTGAACGATTAGATTTTCCCAACGACTAACGTTTTTCTTGTCCAGCCAAGCCTCAGCCCAGCCTCAGCCCATCCCAATCGTTCGTTGTTTGCGGGGCCCCGCACCTGTAGGGTATCTGGGGGATTCACCAGCACCTGTCATGCGAGGAAAGTCTACCCAGATGGCTGCATACACTATGGTCAAGCCTCTTTTCTGGGCATTCAATCTGGGCATTCGATATATATAACAGTATGGATCGCATCACTATGGAACCAGCAGCGCGGGTGTCCATCTTACTTCCCAGCTCCTCCTTCAACAACAATAACAACAACTCCTGTGCTACATAGACATTTCGGTCGAGCAACATGACGGAGAAACGATCTGTCGACTTCATCGACGAGAAGGGCGCCGATGCCGAACTCAAGGAAGTCATCGCTGACCGCCAGGTCCAAATCACTCCTCAGCAGATTCAAGCCCGCTTTGAATCGCTCCGTGACTTGACTGAGGAGCAAATGGCTATATTGAACAAGCAGCTTGTTAAGAAGCTCGATTGGCGACTAATGCCTTGCATCACTCTCATGTTCTTGATGAAGTAAGACCCTGGTCCCGAAAATTTGGTCTGCACGTGAGCAAAGTTAACAGTGCATCTAGCTATCTCGACCGTATCAATGTCTCAAACGCACGCCTTGCTGGACTTCAAGAAGATTTGCACATGTCAGATACACAGTGGAATACTGGTATCTCGACCTTCTATGTTGGTTACCTTGTCGGCCAGCTTCCCGGTAACCTGTGGCTTGCCAAGGCGGATCCCAGGTGGCTTTTGCCATCCATGATGATGGCTTGGAGTATTGGAACGATCTGTATGCCGGCCATGACAAGCGGCGCTGGATTTGCGGTCTGCCGTTTCTTCATCGGTCTTTCAGAAGCACCTTTCTTCCCCGGTATCACACTGAGTAAGTTCCAGCTTGTACACCCGGACACGGGTTGAAAGAATTTGAAACTGACAGAGATCAGTGACTTCTTCATGGTACACCAAGGAAGAGAACCCAATGCGCATGGCTATCTGGCACGCGGGAAACACCATGTCCAACATCTTGTCCGGTTTCTTGGCTGCAGCTATCCTCGAGAACATGGACAATCTCCTCAAACTCCACGCATGGCAATGGTTCTTCATCATTGAGGGCGCCGTCTCCATTCTCGTAGCAGCCATTGCTTACTGGGCGCTTCCATCTTGGCCACACAACACTCGCTGGCTTTCAAAGGAGGAGTCAGAAATGGCACAATACCGTGTCCAGGTATCCAACGGTGGTCATGAGGAGGAGTTGGGTGGAACATGGGACGGACTCAAGGAAGCCGCCAAGGACCCCTTCACCTGGTTCTTCTGCATGATGCACTTCGCTCT